TACCCTAAATTCTTACATTAAGGTCTAGATTAAAGAAATTCTTACTCCTTCCAAGTTGCGTATTGCGTAAGACTTGTAATAAGAATTCGTTATACTCGTGTATACAAAAACACCAATAACTTGAAATTAAATCGTGAAGTATAGGTAGAATGCTAAAGAATCTTGGCATGTGCTTTGTGGTAGAACTACCATCCTCATGCGTTCATGCAGACCCACTCATTTAAGGGGATGGGGAAATTAATATTATAAACTTATGTTAAGTATTAAAAAGAAGCCGTTTTGGTCTATCGTAATGGGAAGGCTCTCGATTAGTTTTTTTGAGATGGACGATCTCTAATTGTGCACTAAAATAATAATCCATGTGTACCGAGCCGATACATGCTCTTTGTCAAATGATGACCAAAGAGACCACCACGTTATAGAACTAAAAATTCAATGACATATGTCTTATGTAAACGAGTTAAAAGGGTAAATTACTGAAGTGTACTATTTTAAATAGTATTTAACAAAACGTTAAGCATAATACGCTAGATGGTTACTTTAACAGTTTCTTTTTGTAAATAAATGTTTATAAACTTACATAAAAGTCCAAAATACACAAGCTGTCAGAATTATTAACGGCTGATAACCATGAGCTTAGTTATCGGATAATGAAAGCAATGAAAATTTTTCTGAAAATATTAATCGATCGAATATCTAGAAGTATTCTTTTCTTTTATATATAATTCTGATTTTATCACATTAAAAAAAAAAATTCGTGTGTATAAGCGTTTGTATACTAAATAAAAATTGTATGACCTTTTATCCTGAATATTAATGTACAGCCAAAATAAAAAAAGACATAGTGATTCACTGAATATGTCTATTATTAACAAATAAATAAAAAGAAGGAACTTCTAGATAAATTTCATCAAATATTAATAGTACGCTAACAACATATTAAATGAATTCCAGTCAATGATTGTAAATGGTATTCTTAAAGTGCCAAATTCATACATCGATTATTTAGTAACCATATCAACGAATTGTGTTTTCTTGGTCTTTTTATATAAAACGATGGTACTAGAGCCACCTAGTGAGTAACGTTTGATATCTTATATTGGACCGCTATTTGGTACAGCGCCATCTCTGATATTAAATCAAAAGGCTTTATAAACATTACACTGTTGTAAAGAAAAAGAAAAAGGTTGTGTTGCTATTATGTTATGGTAGAGTGCGCTCATTTTGTTTTTTTTTCTCTCTAAAATGAAAGCGTGAATCTTTCGCTTTATCATCTGATAATAATCGGAGGCAATAAACCTTTTTTTATAAACGCTAAAAAAAAGTTTAAAGATTGATGTTGTATAGGTCATGATTACGTTAGGAGGTCATACTTAAAAGTATATAGTATTACTAGTAGTAGAAACGCTTCTTGCTAATTTGCTCATGCTCTACATATCCATAAACAAGTTTATAATAAAAGAAGACAGTATTCCCCATTAAAACCTTTTTTTATAATATTCCTTATAAATAATTAAACTGTATAAAAAAACCAAACCAATTACACTTACATAGCAAATTCTTAATCGTAGCTCGTAGCATTCGTGCTACGAAGGGCTGCATGCTACGCTACAATCTAGATCTATTAATTTATTTTAATATTATGAACACAAGCATATTTTTTATCTGTGCGAGTACTTCTTTTCTTACGAAAAGCAATTATTGAATTGAGTACAAATGTGTCAACTTAAAAATTGAGAATAGATTAATTTAGCTATCGTCGTTTAAAGATTCGTTGACAATTAACTTAATAAATAAATCTAAATATAAGTATTGACTACATTTAGTCTGCCCGCTCTGATCGCTACGCATTGTATGTATATGTTGTTAAAGTTCACTACACTACTTACTAATATACGAAGCTGAACAGTTTGTTTGTAGTGTCGGTTAGAACATGTATTGAGAAAGGCTTTAGGCTATAAAATACCACAAAGCAACCAATGGAAGCCGAGAAATAGTGAAGAATATGGAACAATATGCGGATTTTTTTTTTTTTTTGTGAATATCTGAAGCGTGAAATTTTTTTTTTCTTTTTACAGTGTGTGAAAAGGGTTTAAGGTTCAAAATAAATATACATGAAAGAATGATTTATCTTTAAAAGATCGAAAAAACATTGTACGGTACAGTATATGTCTATCTTTTAAGATCAACTTGCAAGAAAGATTGGACGCTACCAGCGTCTTGGGCAACAACTGAAATTTATAACGAGAGGAGGTTTGCATCAAACAATTGGGATGCCTAAAATACTACGCGGAAACAGTTGTTGACACAGGTAGTATTATTATTATAAAGTAATTTGAACCTAAATGCACTTTACACCTGAAATAAGTGTTATCTTATTTTAATATTTCTTTTCTTTTATAAAACATCTACTACCTCACTTTCTGATCGCATCACTATTCATAAGATAATGTATTTAATTTAATATTAAATACACAATTTATTAAAAAAAAAAATAGGACTTCAAATCACTAAGCAGTACATGTAACCATAACAGTTCCAAATTTCACTAACCGCAAAACGTGTGTAATTATAGCAAAACGAATTTGTTCCACAGACGACAAATCATATCGTGATTGGGGCCCAGAAAGCGAGACATCTAATGACAGCTTTCCATAACACAGCTTGCAATTATTTTACAAGTTTATAATTATTTTCGTACAGATTTGCGATATGGGATTAAGAAGATTTCTAGAATACTTTTATATCAATCTTCGTGATATTCTATGTAAACTGTAACATGTAGATATATGTATAGTTAAAAGTAATTGTAATATAACCGGTAAGATATTAAAATATAGAGCGATTTACAACTCCTTAAAATATTTGGTACAGACACATATTGTATGTCGTATTGATTTTTATAAAGATACACTTAGCGCCTAGCCAGTTTTCCACGCTGCCGCGTCTTGATTATAAATATTAGGAAATCCGAGCTCTGCATCGCTTAACTCCCATCTGTTTGCCAGACACGAGGACTTTAAACATTTTCGGTAGATACTTTGCATAAAAAAAAATAATTTGGGCGGGACTCGAATTCTGTTCAGTGATTGTAACCAACTCAAGATTAAGTTACTGAGTTTTTTATTTATAATAAACTAACAAATGTTTCTTTCATTTAAAAACCTTATGACATTACTCGACCCATCATTATAATACCTTATCGTATTTTAGTAGACTGCCGCCTTAGCTAAATGGTTAAAAGTGTTGCCTAGTGTTGCGTTAAACGCGAGAGGTCCTGGGTTCGAATTGTTTCGGTGGGGCAGGGCACAGAAATCTGATCAACTACTTGCCTGTAAATAAAACCAATCTTTAAAACGGACACAGAAACCTGTTCGCCCTATGCCCGACGTGGGGAAACGGGATTTCACACATCATATTTTAATTGATATCAAAAAGCAGTATCTAATCTAATATATTTCCAATATTAACAAACGAAATCACCCGAAACATCTTCACGAGGTCATCAAAATCATTAAGATGGCGTTGACTGCAGCTTTTAGCAAGTCATGCGATAAAAATGACTTTAGTTATACCCTTTATCTCCACTTCTTTCTTTACTTTGTAATATTTTACTATATACCTCTTCCTGTTTTATTTTTGGTTTTCACATAATTGCGAATTTTACTTCTAACACTTAAACGAAGTAATTATGTAAAAAAAGTATATACGTAACTACATTATTTTGTTTATAAGTTGTATTAATTAAATCAAAGATTTATACTTTGAAAAACAAATATCGGTCACGGACTTGAACCAGCGAACACAGTTTTGTGCTGTTTCTCTTACCAATGACTACGTATTTTATCTTTAATATCAAGTTCAAAGTTCAAAGTTAGGTTCAAGCATGAATATTATTTTTCTTTTATTTATAAGGTATGAGAAAAAAACCTCTTTTAATGAAAAATAATTTTAATTATCTATGGTGGATGTTTTGTATATCTACGAGTAATCTGTTGTAGATCGTACTTCGTAATTACAGAGAGGACATTCGTCTTTAATGTATGCACGACAATGGATGTTTTGAATTATTATAAGAAACCATAAGATATTAAAATGTATCTCTAGTAAGACATTGATTGTATTAAGAAACATACTTCTGATTAAAGAATAAATGTTGCTTTTGAAATAAAATCATTTAAAAACTGAAAGAAATCTTGAGAAGCGTAGGGAAAAGGAAATTTTAAATTATATCTACTTGTTAAAAATTAAATATAGATTAAAAAACTAACAAAAAGTTAAATTATGATTAGATTGAAAAAAAAATGAACCGGCATACATACAAAAATTTTTCCAATCTAAATACAGTCTTTATTTATATTAATAGTGCAAAAATATGTGATAAATATTTAAGTTTTCAAACTGACCAATATATACTATTAAATGTATTGTAAATCGTTAGACCGTTACGAATCAATAAAACTTCTTATTCAACGGATAATCTAATGTTGCAGAAATTTGAACTTTATTCTTTAAGAAATAAAGTTAAGTCTAGAAACATTGTTTAGCGTAGTTTTTCACATTTTCACGCAACTTTTAATCATTGACTGAACTGCTTTAAATAAAGTAAAAGAAAAGCTTTTGTAACAATACTCATATGTGATAAGAGTTTAACTTGGAATTTTGTTTTCTCTACTTTAGTCTGTAATATACGTTCTCACTCAATATATTTAAAAAATCGCTTAAGTTTTTTCAAATATAACACTGCAAATAAAAATAAACATCGATCTATTTCCTTCACCACGCTATCTGCTTCAGATAATATACCAAAAGCTTTCGATCCTAATCCGAAAATCGTCTCTAGCGCAGTAGATATTAAAACCACATTTGCGTACACTTTTTGCAATCAACCTTCTATGAAAATAATGGTGCACTAATAATACTATGTGTCTATAAAAGGAGAGTGTACACCATTCGGTTATCAAAGTGTAACCGCGGTTGTTTCGCTTCAGACGTAAAAAATGTATTATTTATGTGTTATACTATTATCTGTGGCATATGCATTGCCCACAGATAAAGCGGAGCCCATAGAGACGGCCGCTAGGGCTATGGGCAAGGATTGTTCCAATGGAATCTTCAGTCCGACCTGTTTGAAAATCGAAGCGATATCGCTTCTAGAAAAACTGAACTCCAGAGAAGAACTCCAACTTTTACCTGGAGTAAGTGTAGTAAAGGAAGAGAAAGAAAATGGCAGCAAAGCCGATGAATTTGCAGCGGAGTTAGCAAGGGCTCTACCCTCGAAACCTGATGAAAGACTGGACAAATTCCTACTTTATAGATTAGGCAGTTACTTGGATAACCATTCTGTTAAGCTTAGGTTATTAGATGATGGAGTTACTGAAGATGCAAGGGCTTTGATAAGCGAAGGAAGGGGTAAAGGTGGTGGCTTTGGAGGTGGGAAGAAAGGTGGAATGGGGGGTTTGATGGCAGCTGGGCTGATGATGAAAGGTATGGGTAAACTTCTATCTAATATTAAACGGCAAGTGAAGAGTCATATCTCCTTTTATGTAAAACTTAAGCCCCATGTGAGTCCGTCAGACACATTTTAAACTATCACTTATCGGTGTGATGTCTTGGTAAATAGGAGCTTTATATGTTGTGCTACTTATTTAAACACTACTTTGTTTATTTCCCTGGAATTTAAAGCTAAAGCTTTTGAGCTTTACGTAATACTAGACAACTTTTTGTTAGTAAGGCCAAGCTGGTGATGCACAATGTGTCATACGTTTGGTATGAGAAAATAATCCCTTTAAATTTTGGCTACAGTTAATTTTATTTATTTTTAAGTGAATCATTATGCGAAATCTATCAATATTCTTGTGGTACTTCAACTTTGTTATAACTAACAACTTTGTTCTTCAATTGTATGAATTACTAAAACAAATAAATTAATTACTCCGTTAAGAAGATATTAATGGATATTAGGGTGTGAAATGTTGTTTTCCTACTGTGAACTCTATGGGCAACCATTTATTAGTGTCCGTTACACTGATCGACTTTATTTACAGGCAAGCAACCAGACTTTACCCTGTCTCAGTGAAACTTCTTCCTTCGGGATTCAAACCCAGTACTTCTCATGCTTAACGCATTGCTAACGAACATGAACCATACATAGTTATACATATATTAGTTAAACTTATTTGAAAATGACTCCCTGTGACCACGGCTGCTGCAAAGCATCCGAAACGTCAGGCAGTAGTTAACTAATATATCCCGTTTTAAACCGTTAAAGAGTTTTATTTAGATCTTAATCTTTCAAGTTAATGAACATCAAATGAGGTCTATCATTAAAATAATTCAGATTGCGAAGCAGAGCATAAAAGAATATCAGAAAGTGTCGTTTGATTATAACAAACTCGTCAACGTCGCTTCGTTATTAATAGGTATACATATTATTATGATGAAGATAAACAGATAATAAGAGAAGATTTGGTTAATAATTTTCAAGGAAAGATAAAAATAACTACTATTGACTAACCAAGTGTATAAATTAATCTTTAAATTAAAAGTATTAATGGAGACAGAATGTGTAATAAAGAGTGTCAAATATATGTTTAAGATGATTTTTCTTTCGAAAATTTTGCTGATTTTTATATGTAGATCGCTATAATATTTAAATGTGACCACAGTTTTTGTGAAGCATTCAAACCGTCCATTCGTAAGAAAAATAAAAAAACTTTGTCATTAGTGACAAAACTCAACTGCGTGAAGCACGTTAAGCGTATTCAAAGAAAACAATGTATCAATACACTTAACGATTTAAGACGTGAAATGTATTAGTTGACTGGTCTCTCCCTGACCACGGCTACTGCAAAGCATCCGAACCTAGTAAAGTTAAATAAAAAATAACTTATATATGTCACGTTTTAAATCGTTAAAGTGTTGTATTTATGTACTACTCGCGTAAACTACATAAAATACATTGCATACAGTACATTACACAAAGTAGTCCTAGACTTCTTATTAACGAAAATATTATATTCTTTTTTTTGGATTATATTCATAAATTAATAAAACAAATTTCTAACTTTTTTCAGGTACTCTAATGTCTATGGGCATGGGCGCATTAGCTCTCCTAGCGGGAAAAGCGCTCATGACAGCACTCATGTCTCTCGTCCTATCCGCAGTGATCGGCTTAAAATCTTTAACATCCGGTGGGAAGTCGACCACTTACGAAATTGTGTCTAAACCGATATATTCCCACACTCACTCCCATTCTACAGCACATGAAGATGTAGGGGGATACGGACATTCTGGTTATGGGAGAAGTATAAATTCGAGAAGATAAGAAGATAGCGTTAAGCTTTAAAGCTGTTTTTGCTTTAACAGGTCAATCACAAAGTTGCTCACCAAAAGAAATTAGATGACTTCAAAGATTTTTCTATAATCTCAACTGAACTGTTTTTTTTATTGTAATATTAGTAATTAGTTTAATAATAGTCGTGGGTAGCCCTTCTAATTTATTTATTTAATATTTATAAGTACTATTTCTAAGCTCTAGGTTTAATTACATCTTGCCAAGATAGTGTATTTATCTATTTAATGTTATAGAAAGATACTTTTAAATTCATTTAAATCTTAGTATGTGATTTTTATGATAAAATAGCTATATTATAGTATTGTACGTATGTTTATTAATATCTTTTATTTACGTATTACGTTTATTATATTAAACAAATACACAAATTGTTTGTTATATTGTACATAAGGATATATTTTTGTTATTATATTTATAAAATATATATTATTTCTCATAACTTAAATTTGTTACTAGTATGAATAGGATCTCTAAGATTATAGGTACAAATTATTTTTATGTTTTTATTATTATAAAAATATACATGTATTTATTTATTCTGCATTTAACGGTATTATATTTGGATATACGTTAAATATTTTTTATGTATTGTGAAATTAGCATTTATTATCTATGTTAATAAAAATTAAAAAAATATATATTGATTGTAATGATTATTTCCGTTGACATTTTGTACTGTTTATTTTTCCCTAAGATCCCGGATTAGTTCAAGTTAGTTAGTAAAAATAAATTTAAATATTTTTTTTCAATGTTGCCTGTTAATCTAATTTAATTTAAAACAATATATTATTACATCGTCCACGATATTAAGGCTTATTAAAAATCGGAAATCTACAAACTAAATCCGAAACGCGATTAAACTCCACGGCTATTCCATTTGTAGACGGCGGGTCGTGACCCGGGTGGTATTTTCGATATTACTACCATACATTTAAAGTTCAGATTTCCAAACGATATCCAACACGTTTCAGGGGAATTACATATTGATTAAAAACATGTTGGACCTGATGAAGATCGAACCCAGAATACGCGAACGAGTAAAAAACTTAATAAATCTTTATTATACGTATTAAATATAAATACTTTGCTACTATAATATACCAGTTTAATATTTTAAAATTGAAGTTTTTAACTAAAAATGATATTTGTACTTCAGCAATGTGAAATTATTCATGCAAAATAAAATATAACTTTATAGATAACTTGTTACAGTAAATAAATAATACGTAATTGCTGTTATATCCGTATAACTTTATATACATATTAACATAAGATACACAGTATTCAGACTTTACGGTATGGTTAAAGATATGTATCTACATTAACGAGAGTGGAATACAATAAAAAAATATTTAGAAATTTCACACAGACGAGTTAGATAATAAACCAATTCACGACAAAATCAGTAATGTACCTATTATTGTAAGTCCGATATCAACATGTACGTACATGAAAATTATAGCATTTTAGTCGAATGACTAATATTATTTCTTAAGGATGCTAAATTATGTAAACCGCGCCCTTAGAAATACTAAAAATTATAACATAATATTGTTCATCTTAAAATATAGTTAAAATCTTAAATATATTTAAAGACAACATAAAGTTGTAGCTTATGCTTATAATAAGCATAAAATACCTTAACTTAAGGTGACAACTGGTTGATGTACCTAGAGGATATAAAATATAGTTAAGTAGACTTCGTAGTAAGACTTACTTAAAATGAAGATATTCACTTAGTTCTAAAAAAATCACTCAAAATACCTGCAGTGAAAGGTTCTTAATTGGCATTATCAAATCGAAAATCAACGAAAATTATCTAAGAGAAAATCTTTCTAAAACCAATCGAAACTTGATTATTTGAAAGTGAGTTCATTTCTCCGTAACAATACTTGCATTTGCTCTTTTTATTTTAAGCGACATTGCTTTTTTATCACCAAAGTGAAGTATAAAATAAACGCCGATCGATACAATATCACCAGTGTCTAACTGACGACGAACGAAATGAAATTAGACCTTCAGTAAAGTAATTGTGACGTGAAAATGTTTACTAAAAGTGTACTAGTTTTCGCTGTGGTGTTATACAAAGCAGTTTTGTTATACGCATCCATTGAAGGATCTGAAACGAACACTGTACCTGAAGTGAGGGAAATCAAAAACTTTTCTAACACAGAACGTACTGGACGCACACTACATAAGGAATGCAATGGAAGCCTTAACGCGAAGTGTATTAAAATCCATGTGCTATCGTTCCTAGAAGATTTAAGTTCTCGCGATGAACTGAGCCTACTTCCTGGATTGAGTATCGTCAGAGAGAGTAAAGCTAACAGCAGCAGTGCAGAAGAAATAGCTGCTGAGATATCCAGGCAGTTCCCTGGAAAGCCAGATGAAAAGCTTAATAGGTTTTTGCTTTACCGGCTACAGGATTACTTAGATAATCATTCATTGAGGTACAGGCTCTTAGATCCTAAGACGACGAAGGATGCTCTAAACATGGCTAAGGGTGATACAGCCAGTGTTGGGAGGAAAGGAGGCGGTGGTGGTGGTGGATTTGGAGGTGGAAAAGGAGGCGGCGGTGGTGCTCTAGTGGCTGCAGCGTTGATGATGAAAGGTATTACTTTGAATTTGTATATAATAAGTACTGCAATAATTATATTTATTGGTGTACCTCTACATTGAAGTTGATAATCGTATCTTTCACACAGGCTTTACTATTATCATCAAATATCAAAATGATCTTTATTTAAGATATTTGATGATAATAGTAAAGACTGTGTGATATGAAATATTAATAAGAGATTACTTTAATTATACAAATGTAATTTAAAACTATATATTATTTCAAAAATATTTCCAATATAGGATAGGTTTTAAAAGGTACGTGTCGTTTTTCTTCAGGAACCCTCGCTGCAGCTGCTTTGGGAGCTTTGGCGCTATTAGCTGGTAAAGCATTAATGACAGCACTTATGTCTCTTCTTCTATCAGCCTTAGTAGGCCTTAAAGGCGGCGGCGGAGGCAAATCAACAACCTACGAAATCATCACCAAACCAGAGGTATCCCATCACCATTCGCACAGTCATGAAGAACATCATGAACATGAGCATGGGCACCATGGTGGATACAGACGAGCATATGACATGAATTATAATAGTTACTTGCCTTACGAAAGCGCTAGCGCAAATAACTAAATTGGAATTGTTGACGTGTCATTAGACCACTAAAATATACGAGTAAAAATACAACGGCCTACTGCATCTGTAGTTTACGCTATTATTACGACTTTTAATAGGTTTTTACCATTTTAAACAAAATCTTTGTATCGCTAAAAAATATATATCACGTTTTAAACTGTTCAACTTAAATATATATATTGAGCTTCTGTAAAGGTCAGTTCACACCAACGAAACATTAATAACTTAATTAGTAGATTAAATCTTTCTTAACTTATTTTGTTTTCAGCTTAAGTAGACATAGCAACGATAATGTGCTATATAACTAACTGTTAAACTTATAATAGACATTTCCCTCAGTTGCAAATAACATAAATTGCCTGCAAAAAAAACAAAGGCGTTTATTGTGGAACATTTTAGACACATAAGTTTAGGGATAGACAAAATAGTATAAGTTATTTATTTTTAATTTTAAGTAATTTATTCGTATATTAGTTCTACTTATTTAAGGAACGTTTATATTCTCTCTGTTTAAGTCCCTTAGTATAAATTGTGTATATATTTATGATGGAGAATATTTGTATATCTGTGTATGTATTACCTTCTTTAAATATTTCGCTTACGTATATCCTGCTGTTTTTCAAAGCACTTAGCTTTGACAAACATGGACAATTCTTTTATGTATATATGCTTAAATATTATCCTATTTCATATTGTTATATTTACTCTGTGGTTGCATATATAAACGTGACATCTTATTTTCGGTGTATTATCTATTTATGCACAAACTTACATAATATCATGCTTTAGTATCTGTTATATAATATATAAGTTTAATAAGATATTTCTACCTTTAAAAGCAGTATACTGCTGTGATATATTAACATACTCGATGTAATAAGTTAAATATTAAACTCTCTTCTACCAAAAATTACTATAACAGTAACATAATAAAATTTGTGTTAGTATTAAATGTTTTGTCTTTTATTTCTCATAAGTTCAAAAAATTAATAGTATTTAATTAAATAAAACACTTTAACGGTGTATATTTCAGTTAAACTTCTTTGAGAATTATTCTTAACTACGGCCCGACGTTTCGGATGCTTTACAGCAGTCGTGATCGACGGTAGTGGACATCAAAGTAAAAATTGCTACGTTAGCGCCATCTGTTACGTCGAAGTTGGTATTTAGCGATCGCGTTTTAAACCGTTAAAGTGTTTTATTTAAATGTGAACTACTCGCTTAAATAACAGACAGTATTTAATAGTATTCAAGTTAAAATTGTGAGGTCATGTCTTAAAACTTTTTATTCTTCCATCTTGAGTTTTCTGAAAGAGATCCCTTGTTAGCGAAGTATTTTTTTCTTTTGTGCAATAAAGAGTTAAAAAATAAAACTAAAAATTCATCGTCATCTACGTTTTCAAGCGTGGTATTGAGATGGCCCAAAACATTATAAATAATTAATAATAATAAAAAAAACTATAATTCTATGTTATCACGATCATACACGGATGTACCCAAGTATCCAAGTAAGAAACTTTCATGAATATATAGGATGTTTTAAATCGCAAAGAGCTGTATTGTTAGCTATTTATAAAAAGCTGTAACATATTTTACAACGCCATTTATTCTCAACGCTATGGAAACCGCAGATTATATGTTTTCACCCACAGATGCTTAACCCTCTGTCCTATAAAGAAATAAAATAAATAACGATAACCTTGCCCTTGCTTCTTCATTTGCAAGCTGTCATCGTAAGATGGCTTCGAGGAGAATTCTAGTGACTTTCATAGTGTATCATTTAATCGATAGAGTAATTGGAGATCATTACCAAATTAATGGCGTACACAATGCTTTAAATCATGATAAAAATAAAACAAGTGATATTAGTTTAGATAATGTCTTCAATGGAGTTTATACCGAGTGCCTTTTTAAATTTTCTTACACGTGCTTACAGAAGAAAACTCTGATTTATTTGAATTGTTTAAACGGTTTAAGTGAAGTTTCTGTTGTTGGTGATTATATTAAATTCGGTAAGGCTGTTCCGCTTCTATTTGTTTCAAAATAGCATTACCATTGTTTTTATTAATAGGATTCGTTTCTAAATCCAAGTAAAGATATATAATTATTTCATTATTAACACCACTTTTAAAATAAAACACTTATGAACGGTTTAAAAGACGTATTTGTTTCTTTTTTTTATTACGACCCGACGACCCGTCACAAATTTGACTTCAACATTAGAGAAACTTTTCATATTAAGTTTCCCCGAGACCCTAACTGCTGCAAAGCATCCGAAATGTCGGGCCGCTGTAAAAATAAAGTGTAAATAAGTTCACTTATATATTTCACGTTTTCAACCGGTAATAAGTGTTTAATTTTAATGTGTAAGCACTACTTATAGTTTTTATAAGTAGTATTTACACGTACTATTTTTCATTTCTAGTTAAACTAAACACCACCAAATCTATAGTCAGTGGCCCCTTTGAATCTAACGATACGCAAGAGTTATCAGATCAAATCGACAATACAGTGGACAACTTTTTCGAAAATCATTTGATAAGGTTTAGCGCTTTGGGGAAAGATGTTATTCTACCACATACGGGTAAGTCATTATAATATAAACTTTTGTATATTCTTATAATTAATAAAAATAACAGTTTATCAAAATCTCTTCAACACATCATGACGTCATGTCAATATAATTTTCTTTGAGCGACCGTGTTAAGTAAATTGGTGAGAGCAGCGGGGAACGCCGTGGATGTCGGTTCAAGTCCCCCCCACGTCGTATTTTTTTAAATAAAAAACTTCATGTCAAGAATATTAAAGATTTCAAATGTTTTTTCGTAGTTGAAACATTCGTGGGTAGAAAGAAGCGCAAAGGAGGTGGTGGTCACGGGGGTGGTGATGATGGTGGTAAGAAGAAAATGTTCATGATGGCTATGATGTGTATGAAAATGAAAATGATGATGGTAAGTTCTTGAAAATGATCAATAAATACATTGATCATTTGAAAATGAAACAAATGTATGACTTTGGACTTAAGTTGTGTACAAAAAATTTAAAAATATTAGTAAAATGCATAGACAAGATAACGTCAAGAATTAAACAAAACACTGACGGTTAAAAATGCGATATGTATTAGTTAAACTTGTTTGAAAATTCTTTTAACTACGGCCCGACGTTTTGGATGCTTAGATAAGTTTAACTAATATAAGATATTTTTGCTTTGAAACGGTAAAAGTAAACTCCAGGCACGATTTTGAAGTCAGGATTTTTACTACATTACATAAAAATACAATATTTTTTTTAACAGAGGAGGACAGACAAGCTTCGTGTTCACTTGATGTTAGGTAATAGGCCATATGACATCTAAACAAAATGCGCTGTTGACCTATTTTGGCTTCGGAATCTGCCTAAACTATTGAGCCTAATATTATTCGTGGTTTGTCCCTACAGATGGTACCAGCGATGATGGGTATGATGGGCATGATGTCATTCAAGGGTATGATGTTCAGCATGATGTCTTTTATGATGACCAAGGTAAACTTGACTGCCAAAATCAGCGTTAAGCATCGTGCGCTATCGTTAATTTGGATATAATTCGATACTTCTTAATAGCAATAATTGATTTCTCTGTATATGTCATATATACAATACTACTAAACTTCTAAGTCTAGTTTCCAATTTTGTTAAGACATTGTACAAAATTAATTCTGTTGTAGCGACTTCGTCCGCGTAGAATAGTTATTTTGAACATCTAAATTTGAATAAACCCCTTTAACGGTTTAAAACACGATATATTAGTAATATATCACAGTTTAAACCGTTAAAGTGTTTTATTTAAATGTTTACTACTCGCGTAAACTATAGACAGTATTTCATCTAAATTTGGTTTTGCAAACCTCCTCCTAATCTTTATCATGATAATTTATGTTTCCCACGACGTCGTTCGCGTCTTGTCGTTCTAGAAAGTTCATCTCTTATAACGTAAACATATACCGTTGCAGACATTTTCTTATATAATTTAAAGAGATGTCATTATACATATTTTTTGGATATCTTAAACTGTTCGGAGTGCATGCAATCGATACAGATGAATATTTTTTCCCTTTTTCACGCTTCCCACTGTTTCTTCATTCCTCGCAGCGAGATGTTTTATAGCTAGGTTAAGTGCTCTTAACAACACAACTTTTTTTTTAATTCGAATAAGTAGTTACTGAGATTAGCGCTTCAAATAAACAAACAAACTCTTCCTTTATATATTAGAGTATATTAGTAGACTTTAAAATTAAATAAATTACAGTTAATGCTCTTAATGAAACTGTTGGAGAAGAAAGGCGGTGGAACCACCAGTTGGAGTAGCGGAGGTGACGCAGTAAGTAACTCTGTTTCATCTTTTACAAATAATTATATTTCAAAGCGCCTGTATTAACTTGTATAGCAAATATTCAAACCGCAAACTAACCGTCATCGTGAAGTTAAAAGTGTCCTATGTTCTGCATATACTATAAACTTCTGTTGTATCAAAAAATAACTTGACTTTATGCTTATTTATTAAAGAAAAAATATTATTTTAATTTTTCATGTTGTCAAAATACTGTGTTTAAATAAAACAATTTCAACTGTCCAAGAAATTTATTAGTTAAACGAAACGTCTTAAAATTATTTGAAAATAAGTTTAACTAATTCGCGTTTTAAAGTGTTTTTGTGTACTCGCGTAAACTACAGAGAATTTATAAACTACCTAGTAACTTTGAGCCAGGCTTGTCTTTGGTTTAAACCCAAAACTAAAGCTCGATAAGGATTAAATAGAATAAGTAAAGCCTTTTTCATGAACAAGGAGTATATTATTTCCAGGGTTGGGCGTCAAGCGGTGGAGCTGGAGCTTGGATGCCAGCAGGTACCATTTAATCATCATTACTTTTAGTCATATTAAAGATTAATTAGGAATAAAAAAAAAACAAGAATTATAAATTCTATTTATATATTTATTTTTTTAAACTCTTGATGACTTGGGAAAGCAATAACGTAGTTATCATTTTGCAATAAAACAGGAACAGCTGACTACGGGTCGGGGGGTTACGACTCAAACGGTCAGTGGCAGAGTAGATCGATAATAGAAATGCTGAGGGATGAAAAAATCAAACCTAAAATGGTATACAAGCCCATTCCATATTTGAAAGCAGACAATGCTTACCTAAACGACGTTAAACCGAAGTTAAGGAAAAGACGAAGTATAATCGATACTCTACATAACGCTTATATGTATTGGATTACAAAATTCTTGGGCACACAGAAACAAAATCCTAAATTTAAAGTTATTAACGGTGTCAAGTATGTCTACCAACCCAACAAATTAAGTAAACGGATTCCAAAATTAAATAAAAACAACTTAAAGCAATTAGTAATTACAGAAGAGTTTAATAAAGGTGAAATATCAGAACCCACTAATGGAAGGATGATAAGAAGAAAATTCAATAAAATGAAAAAAAATGTTAAGGAGGCGGTCGATGAAAATCCGTGGGAATGACTATATTATTTAGTGAAGTTCTACGTTCTGGAAAACATAGTGGAACCGGACATTAAGTCGTTTATATTTTTGTGAAATTTTCAAATAAAATAAGACTGTTTTTTTTCGAGTTGAAATGCGTATTAAAATTGAGTTTAATGCCGATGGCATTTGAAGTGCTTTTTTGATTAAAAGGAAAACGCGTTTCAACTCGTTTTAAGAAGTTTTCTATAGATCGATCTAAAGTAAATATAAGTCTTTTAACAAAATAAAGACAAAAATACATATAATTAGTTTAACATTTTTAAGTGTTAACTTTTACGTGTCTATTTACTTTAGTTATTGTTATAAGAAATAATAACCCATTTTATTAATAGAAATAGGTTGATGACAAATATTAATTTGCTGTAACGTCATCTGTTGACAATTTAAAGAACGATCAATCTTGCTATGTGATTAGGACATTTAATACATTTTAATAACCCGCTGCTTAAGCATAATGGTAAAGGGACTAAATGTCAATAATGTTATATAGATGGCAGCACTGTTTTGAATATTGTATTTTACTGAAAAAGACACCATAGTATGAGATAATTTATTTTCAGTGACCCAAACTAACAAGGCTTTCTTTTAAGAGTAATGCTAGATTAATAGTTGACCCTTCTTAGCTTTTTCTATAAATATAGAGTTTGTATTGATTTTTCAAATGTTGAAATAATATAAATAAATATATTTGTATTAGTAGTATAGCAAATAAATTAGGTTAACTTCCGACTTCCCACTATAATGTTAAATTTTCCATCAATCTCGTCATATTACTAGGAAAATTATTGTCATCTCATGTGGTGGAGAAAACGGCCAGTTGAACTGTTGAAGTCTTTAACTGTCGTTGAATTTTGTTATACTGCTGATTAATTAAACGTTAACAAAATACTTTTAATATTACTTTAGAATATATTAAAAATCCACTTATATTTTGTATGCATAATGTAATGGAAAATTTTTTCGAAATATAATCATAGTAACTTATATTTTCCTAACAGTTAATATAATATGTATCAATTTCAAAATAATATATATTAAAATATTTTTTTCGTTTTAATTATTGAGTCAACATTTAACCCTTTAAAAGGGTTAAATTTGATTTATGTTTAAACAATAATTAAACATGATAGTACTACTGGTCCCTGTTCACGGTCAAAGACCTAGATCTTCACCTTGCTCTTGAACGTTTGGCAAACCTTAGTGACGTCTCACTGTTATCGATTTAATAAAACATTAGCTGTACTCGATAGACAGACCTCGATTTAAAAATGTCAGCCATGTCATATTAAGGATTTTTCTATAATTATACATTATTGAAACACAATGAAAGCCTATATTTTTAGTGGAATGCCTATTTTAATATTTTTAAATTACATAATATGACATACGCCAAACACTTCTAAAACAAAGAAAGTAGTAACATAAAAAATCAAATAGCTTCTGGTACGAAATCGATTACTTCTATACAGCTATCTACATTTATACTTGTACAGCAGCTTCCTATAAAACAAACAGCAAACTTAATTTAATTTTTAATATAATGATTGTCATTTCCGTCAATTGGTCAACCAATCGCCATTACAATTTTGAGTGCAAAAACATCGATGATCCACTTCATCGATAACCGCTCGCATCACTATATCTGCGAGATACATTCTCTGCACCACAAACTCGGCTCGGAGCTTAGTAAGTCTGCGATATCGTGCGACGGACCACGTTCACTCGTTTGACGTTTGACCTCTTTTCATAATCAAACACGAGTTGTGTGCAGTGGCAACTTTTTGCGGATGTCACACCGGAAACAGGTAATCTTGTTTTTTCTAATTGTTTAATTGCCCATGTTTTAATTTATGTTAGAGGCCTTTAAGAATGAAACTTTCAGCTCATTGACGAAGAAAGCAGTTGCGTCATAGTAATGTGACGTAAGTTGCAATATAGACAAAACAAACGTTTCAGATTGTTCTTAAATGTCTTCGACTGCTGCTATGATTATAGTTTTTAATATTTTCTAAGTGAAGTAATGTTAATACGGAACCAGAGTTTATTTATTATTATTTTAGTTATTCTCAACTTTATTAACTGTCTATCTGATAATTAAGTCTGTCTTTGTTTTTTTCCCTTATCTCTAAATGACGATTAACATTACTTCCTTTTAATCCTTTACTAACTCTAGCCTTGTATATGTCGAAAAGTTTTTACCATGATTATAATACACATATGATTTATAATATGTTTATTAAAATAGTTATAGCTTAGTAAGCAATTATTTGCTTAATTAGCTAAATTATAAGTGATTTGAAAAAAAAATCTAATAAAGTCATTCTCATGTAATAATATCATTATAAAATGCTTCCCATAAAATTACAGAAACTTAAAGAAACTGCAAAGGAATGACATCTTAAAACCTACTTTATTTGGTAAAAAGGCGGACCAAAAAGATCGTAAAAACCGAACCCATACTTACGTCATCATTCCACGTTTAAAATTGTTTTTGCCAGTTTTCACCACGACCAGTTTTAAGCGAATTTACTTTCTCTAGCAGTGACGTTATCAAGGACACGCCCGTTATCACAATTTTTGTCTCGAAGACACCCTGATACTAAGATGTCCTTTGTCAATATACCCTCTTTCAATTTTAACAGATCTTAAGATTAGTAAAGTCTGTACATAGAGATCTGTACTATATATCGAGTATATATAAGTAATATTTCGAAAGTATTAAGGAATCGCTAAAAAGTGAATTATTTACTAAGTGACGCAACAATACCATCAATAACTTTATTATAATATTATTTAACTAGCAACCCACCGCGGCTTCGCTTGTAATGCTGATGCTAAATATCCTACACAAAACTTCGAACATTTTATTTAAAAACCTTCCTCTAGAATCACTCTATCAATAAAAAAACGCATCAAAATCAGTTGGATAGTTTTAAAGATTTAAGCGTACATAGCTATAGAAAAAGCGACTTTCTTTCTTTAATCGCCAGTTTAGTTAAGTTAAAGTTTGATAATATATATCAAACTTTAACTTAACTCTTCTCTTCACTCGTATTATACAAACTTAATATATTACTTATAAATACTATCTGTTATTTACGCGAGTTACCACCGTGGCCACGGGGAAACAGTTAACGGTTTAACTGTCTCCCCGTGGCCACGGCTGCTGCAAAACATCTGAAACGTTGGCCCGTATTTATAAAAATTTTATTTAAATGTCACTTACAAGTCAAAAGCAGTATATGGATTTTTTCTTGAAAGGCCCCAATACACTGAAATACGGTGAAATTCGCGTGGATACTGGTTTGACCTTGATAAGGAGTACACTATTGAAATGCAGGAAAAGTGAGCGATTGTGGGGCAAGTTGAGATTGATCTTTTGACATCCATAAATGCAGACTCGTCAATTAGTAAGTTAATGGTTAGGTATTAAAACACACCCAGAGTATACTGAGATAAGCATATAGACACTTTAATACGGCTTTCCACGACTGTTTCGAAAATTACTTCGAAATGTGTTTTGCTTTAAACTGTTGTTAGCATTGAAAAATTACGGCTAGTGACGGCAAAAGTAATATTTGATAACGTGGAGCATTTTCGATATTTTGCAATAAGGTATATAGCAATGTAGGGGCGTATTTGTTTAATTATTTATCATGACAAATATATTTAAATAAAACACTTTAACGGTTCAAAACGCGATATATTCAAAAGAGTCAAACTTATTTGAAAATGATATTTAACTTCAGCCCGACGTTTCCGATGCTTTGCAGCAACCGTGGTCAGGTCAGGTGGGGAGACAACGTAAATGTAACGTACGTGTATGTAAATGTGTACTACTCGCGTAAACTATAGACAGTTTATGACAAAGATAGTTGCTATTCAATATTTTTCGTCTTACGAATATTACAATATAGTATTTCCCACAATATAGTACTTGACTCGTTTAAAGGTTATTTACAAAAACAACATGGTAATTAAAAAGTAAGTCTTAACGTACCCTTACTTGTACCCTATTTTATTAAAAATATACTTACTTTTAATTGGACTATGACCACCTTTGTAGCCAAATGGTTAAACGTGTTGCTTAACATTACATTAAGCGCGAGAAGTCCCGGGTTTGAATCCCGGGGAAACAGTTAAATGTGTCGGTCGGGCAGGACACGGAAGTCAGATCACCTACTTGTCTGTAAATAAAACCGATCAGTGAAACGGACATAAAAATGTGTTCGCCCTATGATGTGGGGAAACGGGATTTCACTTCTTTTTAAATAGACTATATTTTAATTGGTCGTTAAATGTGATACCAATAATTATATATACTTTGTAGGCCTACACTGTGTTAGAGAGAATTATTTCACTATTATCTTTTGAATCTTGATCTATAAATTATACAGCCGGCAATATTTGTTGTGTTCAGCTCAGTTGGGGAAACACGTTTCACTTTTACGCATTCTTCGTGAAGATCATGCACGCACGTTGTCATTCAGAAACTTAAAAGGAAAATTTTTAGAAAACACTTTTAGTGTGTTATGAGGAGAAATTTCGATGCCCCGCCTTTATGTTCAAGTTACAATTTACGTTAAACGTCGAATGTAAGTAATTTATTGATATATTCGTTATAAGAAGAAGTCCAATAATTTTCACAAGAACGAAACCTGTTTTTGACAGTTTAATGACAATTTTTTTGAGTTACACTTAACATAAATGAAGTTTAAGATATTATTATATTTTTAATAAACATTTAACAATTTCTTACATAGAGATAATATTAATAATGTAATAAAAAAAGTTCATATGTAGCTAAAATTTACGCGCGTTGAACTCTTTTGTATTAGACTTTTCTTAAGTGGCTCAACAAACCTACTCAATCAACATATCTTGTAAGATAAGTTTAAGATAACCTATTGTCATCAGATGTACAGTTATACTTTGTTGTTGTTTACTGACACAGTTAATATGTCATGAGTTTAGCTACTTAATGAAAGAAAGGAAAATGAACCAGATTTCACTGTCCTTATATGAACTTTTCCTTTTTTGTCTCAATGAATCACTGTTAAATGAAACAAATACATTACATATAAGTATTATATTTTTAATAAATAATTATACAAGTTTAGTTATAAAAAAACTCTGAAAACGCTAAACACTTTTTCCCATTCTCTTTGATATTTACGCTCAACGATTTTTTATTTCAAAACATTTGATTTAAAGTTATCAATAACATTATACATTGCTAAGCTTCAGATACTTTTTCTACAAAATATGCGGCTCTTTACTAAACATAGATTAGAATTTAATTAAATAATGTCTGTAGTCTAGGCAAAGTTAAATATATACGTTCAATATATTACTTGAAAATTATATGAACACGGTTACAGCAAAGCATCGGAAACGACGGGTTGTAATTAAAATAATTTGTTTCACATTACGTTTACGTATAAAAATGCGTTAATAAATAAAACCGTTAAAAATATTTTATTTAAATACAATTTATATCATGTTAAAAGCCTTTACGTGCAGAAGGCATTTGGACAATGTGTAATGCGATGGACAACCAGTAGTACACATGAATGAACAATAATTGTCCAGAAACAGAATCCAGCGAGATCCGTTCCGCTTTCAAACGCGTGCCTAAGCGTCGCACGCAGATATAGAATTGTGGATGTGTCACTAGTATGAGGCTAACAGCTTATTACAATATTTAAAATTACAATTTTAAATATTGTAATTAGCTATTTAGCTTGTCAGTAATCATAAATAATGATTATAATTTTTAAAATATTTTTTAATCTTATTTAATGCGAATATTTTCACTTAATACAATTATTTTTTTTTAAGAAACACGATCAAACACAAACTGATCATTAAAACGGAAACTTAATTTTCGTATATGTTTTTTATTTCTTACACAATACAGCTCCTTTTCAATTTTTTTTTATTATAACAATAGACTACTAGATTCACATTATTATTTCACAGCACATCTAGTAAAACGATATGTTTATCTTTGATTACGTGATCATTTGATCGACTTTTGATTTCAAAAGCACAGTGCATTCCAATGTGATTGTTTCACTCATTGACTTTGCATTTACATAAATTTATATTTACGTTAATACTGTTAGGTCGGAAAAACGATGGTAAACTCTTAAATATTAATTTATTATCCAAAATTAGGCTAAACCGACAGAATGCGCGCCAACGTTCGTATTTGACAGTTCCTGAGCTAGTGTCGGGACGCGCGCGGTAATCGCGTCGCACTAGTGTTGTGTCGTCCCCGCTAAATCGGAGGATTCTTCATATCAGTTCGGCCATCCTGTGTAGTCCTTCGCCCTCGAAGGATGAAGTAGCGCTCCCGCTAAACCGCCGCCGTCAGGGCTGCCAGCGCAGCCACGTAGACTCGGCTCAGCCACCTAGAGGAAATAGCCTCGTAGGCAGTAAATAGCCCCGTAGGCAGATAATAGCCCCGTAGGCAGTAATAGCCCCGTAGGCAGATAATAGCCCCGTAGGCAGTAATAGCCCCGTAGGCAGTAATAGCCCCGTAGGCAGATAATAGCCCCGTAGGCAGTAATAGCCCCGTAGGCAGTAATAGCCCCGTAGGCAGTAATAGCCCCGTAGGCAGTAATAGCCCCGTAGGCAGTAATAGCCCCGTAGGCAGTATATAGCCCCGAAGGCACAACATAGCCCCGTAGGCAGCAAATAGCCCCGAAGGCACAATATAGACCAGTAGGCACTAAGCCAGAGGGGTGACAGCATCTTGCTTTAATTCGTCCTCTGATGAACAACTGTCTTGCGTAGCTTTCAAAACCTTCATTAAGTCACCTTATGACCAACCTTGTCACAATTGTTGCACTTGACCACCTTGTTTAAGTTATTATTTTAAGCATTAAATGAACCCCAGGATTTCACTTCAACGCAGTCCGATGATGTTTTCATACAGGCCAGATACTTTAACAAAGAATTAGTATCATGACAACCAGCGACAACACTCCAACTTCTAACAATTTGTCTCCAAGTTTACCCACAATTGCTTGAGCTATCACATCATCACTCATATTACATGACATGCCAATACCCAGCTTATATAGTAAAATTTTATTGGGCCTTCATCTTTTGTCTTGATACGGTTAACAAGTTCCCTAATCTGTGACAACTTATTCTTAGTAATGGAAATGCTGTAATTAATTTTATTTTCCACTCATCCCAGCTAATGTCATAGCAAGTTTGGTGTTCATATCAGCTTTTAGCATAGCCACCCAACTTAGAAGTGCAGTTGCAAATCAAAGTGCGTTCATCCCAGCCATGCATATTAGCAACACCTTCTAAGTTACGGAGCCAATGTTCTACTGAGACAGATGATTTTTGAGGATTAAACTCAGGTATAAAATCATTCCGCCCCACATAACGAACCACTGACTCTACTCTTGGTGTGGTGTCACCATTATTGTAATTTTTCTGTTGTAATTCTTTAATCAACCCTTCTAATGCTTCGATTCTCTTATTCTTCCTTTTAAGTTCTTTTTTTTGTCGTTCACTTTTAGATTATCTATCAGAATTACTTGACCCTGATAAAGAAGCACTAGTAGACCTATTTCTCTTCTGGTGCCGACCCATGTTAACAATTAAAACAAAGTCACACACAATAAACTTATACTGCTGTCTCCACTAATAATTCTCTTTGAATAAAGTAAACTTCTTTAACAAAAGAAATTAAATTCAGTAAAAGTTCAATTACCCAAATAGTCCTTAAATTTAGTTTAAAGTTAGCACTTTAACAATTAAGAATAGTTCACTTTGTTTATTTATGGGTTGCTGAGCATTTTAACAGATATTAAAGTATGCTGAAATTATCAGTCTACTTATGTAAATACAAAAGTTCATGGAACAATCTCACCAAATAACCAGGAACATTTCAACACGCAACTGATGCATCTTCAAGCACCCTGAAATGCAATCGTCACCATACCAGGATAGTTCACACAAATAAACCAGTTTCTCAACCAGAAAATGTTCACCAAAAACTTCTACAAACTTGTTGTACTGGAGGTCAGTGACCCTTAACGGATTGACAAAATTTGTGCAAAAATCAAGTATTAAGTACCGAACTGCATTAAACTTAGTTACTACAAGCGTTCTTATCACTAATTATGTGTGTCATCACCAAATTATATAATAAAAGCGTCTTTTCGCATCCAAAACCGCCAGTTTTTTTTTTCACCAAACTTTGCACTTTAAAAGTGAAATTATCGTCCAATTCATCAAAATTCACTCGTGGGCAAGATCACTTATCGCACTTCTGATATTGTTAGCTCGGAAAAACGATGGTAAACTCTTAAATATTAATTTATTATCCAAAATTAGGCTAAACCGACAGAATGCGCGCCAACGTTCGTATTTGACAGTTCCTGAGCTAGTGTCGGGACGCGCGCGGTAATCGCGTCGCACTAGTGTTGTGTCGTCCCCGCTAAATCGGAGGATTCTTCATATCAATACGTAATCAAGATAAGATTTTTCTGGTCCTGGAATATCTCGGAATTTTGTATTATATTTTTTAATATATATTTATATAGATTCAAGTGTAAATGTAAAAGGAAATAATATTGTTTTAAGTATAATTTGTAACCCACAAACACCTTTTTTTATTTTAACGATGACTCAAGACTTGAAGGGTCAAATAGCGTTCTAACAAACCATTTATAATTCTATCATTTCATATAAACGCGTAATAAATAATAACGATCTTATAATTATCATTAGTATTTTATTTTCTCTTTAATTAATAATATAATAAATCACTAAACGCTTATAGCTAATCATAAAATTAATTAAAATCTTAATTCAAACAGGAAATGTAGCTCTAAAGAGATTCGTACAGAGTATAGTTCCACAGATAACAGTTGTTTAAAGTATATCGCTGTTTTTAGTTTGTGTAGTGGCAAAGGTAAAAGTTTATTCTATTTTATTGATATTGACTATACTGGAATACTTTCGATCACCATTTATCTGATATTGGCACCGGAAACCGGAAATTGTTTTTATAGCATTTAAACCTAGTGATCTGTGTTATTAATTCGACTTTTAAAATTTTGATAGACATTTTAGATTTATCTTTAATGGTTTAAATACAATTTCATTGGAAACACATGTTTAGTGTCCGCATTGTCAAGGTATTAGATTTTACTATTTACTCTTACATTAGTGAAGTCACTTAAAGGTGATACTTATGAAGGACTATCTTTATTTAAGTAAAATATAAAAGTACGTATAATATATTTTACTGAAATAGCACTGAAACTACTTATAGATTACCTACCGACTTGTTACAGTTCTGAAATTTAGTATATTTCAGAACTTTAACGTTTTAAGAAAATATTGTGAATTAAGATTTATTCGGATCGTTGGAATAGTTATAACTCCTTTGCTTTTGGACTCAAAGTTTAAAGACAACGTATAAAGAATAAGCTAATGCAAGTGACGCTAAATAAAACTTGTAGAAGTTCCGTGAAAGCCTATTAACATAAGGTCACGAGTTGAAGTCTCATCTGTTCATTCACGCCTACGTCGTTAAATTTTGATTTATTTTAGTCGGTGGAATATTATTGTACATTCTTACATAAGTTATTACACAAAAAACTACATCAATAGTATCTAATCATGTGTCTAGAATGTTAATATTTTGCTAAAGATATTCAAGAAAATAATTACGAAAACACGAGTAATGTTGTTCTGTAATGAAGATATCTCAAGTGTTTGATTGACAACCTATTAAAGCGAAATCCCCTACCTCCGTGTGGAGTATAGAGGCAAGAAATTTCTTTGTCCATTTCACGGGTCAATTTACATACAAGCAATTGGAACTGTTTTGTAAATTAAAAGTAGCTCAACGACTTCTGTGTCCTGACCGAAACGAGTTATTGTTTAGTTTCAATTCGAACCGAAGACTTCTTTAGCTAAACGCATAGCAAGGCAACGCAACGCACGCAAAGCAAGGCAACGTATTTTACAATAGCAGGTTCAATAATTAAAAAATTACATACTATGAAAATAATACCACAGTAAAACAAAGTAATTTAACACGGCTCTTTGATCGTAAGCAATGATAACAATCTCTGTGTAATTAAATGCTTAACATATAAATTAATATTTATTTGACGTACTGTTTGAAGAAACGTCTAATAAAATTACTGTTTAACACATGGTACACACTTTCGCAGTGAAAGTCGGTAAACACTGCACCGGCACTGCTAAGAATTTGTAAATAGTAGCCATAGGAACGTTAACAATTACAAGACGATAACGAAATTCGATAACCATTGCTGCCGTCGCTAAATAATGACACTGCCATATTTTTGTACTGCTTCTTTAATGATAGAGAAGGAGATAGAAGCATAAGGTACACTTGATGGAAGGTAAAATACCCCAGCTATATAAAATGTCAATAATATGCACTGTCAATTCATGTTTGCTTAGGACATTCGGAAAAACGCAGCCAGACAACAACGCGATATAACTTCACGGCTTATTACCGGATGGAATTTCGATATTCCTCCTACCTATTTCATATCCAGATTCCCAAACAAAATCCAAAATGTTGCATGAAAATTATAAATTAATTAGAAACATATTAAATTCAGTGGGTCTAACCCATGACTCGTTGATAATTAGCTATACATTGCTACTGCTACTATAAAACCAACCATTTATTTGCATTTTAACTTGATTACTTAACACGGTATTCCATAAACGTTTTAAAAGTATGTACATACTGTGTATAAATTGAAATTATTTTAAAGTTATCAAATATCATTTGATTGTATAGATTCAGTTCTAAAATAAATCTAATTAATCCGATGAAATTGAAGCATACAAATGCCTGTTTTAATTTCACTAATTGTCTATCATTCTCACGTTCTGTGTCATCACAACATCCGAAACAATACATCTTACCTCCTCCGGACTCGAACCCGGAACCCATCGCTTGTTTTACACCACGTAAACAATATTAAATTCTATCTATATCGAAAGTAAGTTGTTATCAGTGCCATTTTGAAATCAGGTGAAATCGTAACAATTAAGATTCGTAAAACGTACATCATTAAACGCGTTATGTGGTTGTTATTCATAGCCACAGACTGCATAATATAATTGCAATCGGTTCTTTTCTAATCTTTATACTTTCTACTCACACTTATTTGGCATAGATTATTTATCTTCGGGATTTCTTGGCCTAGCTTACACAGTAACACGGTTTCCTTAATTGCTCTTTGATTATTAACCTATTAGAATCAAGTTATTGAAACCGGAAATTGTCTTAAATCTTTTTTATTGATTAAAATGTTTTTTTTTTATAGTATATATAAATATTATAGACAACGTGTAATGAAGTAATCGAAGTACCGAAAATAATCGAAGTACCGAAAGTAATCAAGTTACCGAATTGTAATGCTTATATGTGAACTTAAAAGACTTCAATAACGATTATTGAATGTTATATTCAAACATACTTTACATTATCTGTAATTTATGTAATATATAATCAATATACCACATAGTTATATGAATAATGTATATAAATAAATGTAGCAATGTGTGGCTGTTATAATCAAAGGATCGTGAATTCCATGCCCATCGGATCCAACATCAATCAATGAATAATTGTCCTGAAACTTATTTTTTTTCTTTTGTAGTTCTTCTGTAAACTCCGGATTAATTGGGTAGTAGGAATATTGAAATTCCGTTCGGGTAACAAACCGTTGACAATAGATGAAAAATCCGTGTACTGTAATAGTGTTTTTGTCACTGTCTATGGTTTTCTGAATGTACAACGAAAGAAGGTTGACATTTCACCTACCGTCATAGGAACCCCTTGCTTGTCTGCCATCTTGAATCATTAAAAATAATTACTTTATTTTAATTTTTATCGATCCATCTTATTTAGTTATTAGAATGCCACGTGTAAAATATAACTTAATATAACGCAAGAAGGATAAAAAGTTACAAACACTTGTCGTTGACGTCATATTTCTTTTATCTGACCTTTCAACTATGCTAATTAGAAGAGAAAGTATTTATCAAACTAATCCCAATCTAAAAATTTGAACAGTTTTATGATGCTAACATATGGGAGAAAGTTACAAATATTCATATGCATATTAGCCAAGTCAAAGTAAAAAAGTCTAATATTTAGATGCTAATTCCACATAAGCTACTGCGGATTTCAAAGGAATATCATAATTAAACTTTCAAAAACCACAGAACACCATTATTACGTTTTCTATGATAACCTTGCGCCTAGGTGTAAATTGACAATTATAACAGACGTCTTAGTTAAAGAGAATTGCATAGCACTCGTGAGAGATATTAACTTTTAGATGCCGCGTCTGCATTACATAAATATAATAAACTGTACTCATGTTATAAAGTTGAAGAGTTTGTTTGAATTGAAATGAAAAAAAATTCCGTGTTCATGATTTACTAACTTTACCAGCGACTTCACTGTAAATCATATTTAAATAAAAGACGTTTTACCGTTTTAAATGTAAAATGTTTTAATTACGTTTGAAAAACTGTAAATATTTTTCACATGAAAGCACTATATAATTCATTCATTCATAAGAGCAACAGCACGGAACGCTGACGATGCCGGTTCAAGCCCTGCCCGAGCCGAAGATATTTTCAATTTATTTTCGATTTTTAAATTATGTATTTTTTAACTTACTTGCGTAAACTACAGCAGTAGTAAATGTTTATTAAAAAAATATGATACTGACAAGATTTAAACCCACGACTAATTTATTGTTAAAGAAATAAAATTGTACGCTGTTATTAGTGGGAGGAGTTTCGTCTCGTTAATCCATTTTAATATTGGATTTACTTCGATTTCTACAAATTCTGAAACGTCTTCAAAAAGAAATGTATTCAAGATAGGTAATATATTTTCCTAATCTTGTATGTGGATGTTGGTTGTTGGTTAGTGTTGTGTTTAAATAAAACATTTTTAGGGTTTAAAACGTGAAATATATTAGGACCTGTTGTTTCGGACGCTTTGCAGCAGCCCGAACTCCGGAAGGACTAGTCTAAATGATTTAAATAAAACACTTAACGGTTTAAAACGCGACATAATAGTTAAACTTCGTATGACCACGGCTACTGCAAAGCATCCGAAACGTTAGGTCGAAGTTAAAAATCATTTTCAAATAAGTTTAACTAATATATCGTGTTTGAAACCGTTAAAGTGTTTTATTTAAATGTGTACTACTCGCGTAAACTATAGATAGTATTTAGTCTAAATGAATTAAAAATAACTCAACCAATATAACTCGCGTCAAAGCCTTTAAAAGTGTTATATTCAAATGTGTACTACTCGCGTAAACAACAAATAATATTTAGTCTGTTGTAAAGAGGAGTTTAATTCAATAAATTTTACTTTCACTATAGTGTGAGTTACATTAAAGCACATTATGCTTTTTGGTTGCCATAATTTGTATAGGAATGTTGTTCTCAGAGCAATGACTGGTTCTTTATTTATTCTAAACAGGTAAAAGCAACCTACTGTCCTACTAGAGGGCAGGTTGCAAGCCTTAATGATCTTTTAAATATTAGATCTTAATCGTGCATATCCATATATTTCTTATTTATATTATTATAGCATTATAATTTATAACGCTAACCACAAAAAACTAACTTATGAATAAAAGGCGGCCTTATCGCTAAGCATTGATCTCTTCCAGACAAGCTGAAGTACATGAGAAAAGAAATAGAAAAAGACTTTTTAGGTGGGTAAGGAATAATAAACAAAAGAAAAGGCACATCGTAATAGTCATAACAAGTAGGAAAGAAAAGCAAACGTATAAAAACAACTATACTCAAATTTTTAAGTTTAAAATTACTATATCTAATATATAAAATTGTCGCGTCACGGTGTTCGAACTCCTCCGAAACGGCTCGACCGATTTTCACTAAATTTCATATGTGTATTCAATAGGACTGAGAATAGGACAACATTTATTTTTCATCCCCCTAAGTGATAAGGGTGGTTCACCCTTAATTTGTTTTTTTTTTTATTGTTTGAACATAATTTTTAATTTCTATTTTTTTATGATACAACATATATAAAAATACATACAATCCTCAATTTTCACCCTTCTACGATCAACCCTAATTTTTTAATAGACAGTTTAGTAAAATTATTTATATATCAAAACAACGTTAGCCGGCTCAACTAGTAGTTCAATAAACTTCACTCCTCAATTCAAATAAAACTGTCGTACGATTTTCTTCTGCCTTATAAAACAGTTTTTCACCTAAGGTAAACTTCACGCTTCGTTTATTAGTGGAAGTTATATTTAATAACAAACACCTTGACGCTATATTAAATAATATGAAGATAGTTACGTAGAGTTGAACGAATATCTCGCCAAACTTGAAGTGAAAGTGAACGAATCAATTTTGAGCGGTGAAATTAAAATAAAAGTCTCTGAGATTCGAAGTTTTACTGTTATTTTTATTTTTGCTTTAACTTCTTTGATATTATCGTATTAATGTATACTTAATGTTATCGTGCTGGTGGTATTTAAATTGTATTAATTTTGTCTCACAAAAAATAATTAATTCAAAATAAAAAAAGTTATAGTTTCAACTAAAAAGTACCGTTTTTTGGGATGACAAAGAACGTGTTAACAACCAGAATTGAATAACAGACAGACCGAAAGCTAGATCTATATTTACTAGAGTCTAGACTAAGACGGCTCTTCAGTGACCGCGTGTTGGTACTTAACCCGCACATACTCACAAATTACTCTATGCATACTTTCTCGATTTATTAAGTGAAATCTAAGTATTTATAATAACTATTTTAATAAAAATATTTCACTAACAAGTGGGAATCTCTTCTGTATCTTATATATGACAAACGCTTTTTAAAAGGCATGCAAGGAAAAGCTAGTTCAAATAATTACTCAAATATGTTACCTATTGTCTTGTCAAGTTCAAATGAAGTTCCGTGCTTAGTGCATTTTGTGTCACATTTAAATGTATAATTAGCGACTTTTCGAATTTTCTCAAAGTAAAATAGTGCGTGAAAGTAAAGTTTTTGTATAAAGGTGGCGTAAGATATTCTTTACAATCAACGCTATGAGGAATTGGCTGTTTCTTTAGGCCGGCAAAGCATTACCTCAAGAACTATCTAGTGTGGCAAACATCGTGGGTTGCGAGAATTTATCTTACCTTTTGTCCTAACCCTTAACCCACGCCTGTTTTGAACTATCTGAACTGACATAAGTCTGAAATTATGTTAGATAGATATAATTATATGACACTAATAACAAAAACGACATTGACATTGACAGTTTCAATTGTCATCATTAAAAATGATCTAGCTAATTTAATTTTCTCTTTATTTACAGATGATGACAACTGGGAGCTAAACTCTATGAGACACATAGCGGAACAGAATAGTGACTTTCAAATTAATTTGGAAAATGGCGGCATGTGTTGAGAGACTATAGCATTCTATCAGTGATGATCCAATAATGGCGGGGAAGAAACGCTCTGTCTGCTCCAGCAGACTTCACCAATGGACCGTGAATATCACACACATATCCACAATAATCCTTCTCTTAAGTGTTAGTGTTAACTCAAGTAATTCCACCGATGATGACATTAAGAAAATCAAAAGTGACATTCCTAAAAGATTAAAATTCGTAGAAGCCGTAACCGGCCGTGGCTTTAGTGATGTGTATCAAAATGGTACTTTTAGAACCGGCAATAGTCTGTGGGACAATATTCTTAATAAGTGCACTCTATCGCCATCTGTTAGTTGCTTGCAGAACAACTTTTATTCGTATTTAGACGAGAGCTTAGATTTTAACGGTGATATTAATGTGACTAGTGGTGTGTGCTTTAAAAAGAATAATGTTGACATGAATAAATTTAGTAAGGAGGCAAATATCATTTATCTCACTGGAAGTAAGGATAAAGATGACGCGAGATCGTTTGATGCGGAAAATGAAATCGACGATGAAGAGGATGCTGGTAAGGTTTATCCTAATACTCGTAGTACATGATGAGATGAGAATTACGTATGTATTCACAATTTCTTCAAATAACTTTCGGCCAAAGCTTCTATAGTTCTTTTCCCAAATAATGCGAGGAAATTAAAACTAGGTTCTACCTAGTTTTAATTTCCTCGCATTATTTCAGAGCTTTAAAACCAATGACGAAGTGCACAAACAACCAATGGTTTTTACGCGCCAAAGTGTTATTTTTAACTAAACAGCTTTCTATGTGCCAACCAGTTCGAAATTTAAATTAAACCTTTGATAAGTTACTTCTTTGTTCGCCATGTTGCGGATAAGAAAATCGTTCTGTTTTTAAATAACACGACATATATTTATTTGGCCGCTAAGTCATGGATTCTCATAAAACTATTTCATTCCGATTCTGAAGTTTAATGGTGTTATTAAAATTAAAATAATGCTCCAATTTTAAAGCATATTTTAATTTTAGATAAGACTATTATTTTACGTTGCCAAGGATTGCGTTGAGTCCGAGAGATCCAGGGTTCGAATTCCGGAAAACATAATAATTTACATCAGCAACAAGATCAGTCAAGTTTGTTACATTCTGAATTTTTTATTATCTCGTTCGGTAACCTTCAATAAAAAATAATATATAATCTAAGTGCAAAATAACAAGATTTAAATAATTTAATAAAACTTTCGTTAGTAAATTACGTTTTAGAATAATTCTCTACTGTTTTTTCTTATGCTTCTAAAGTTAACATTTTTGTCTTCAAGTTACAATTTAAACAATGCACTATTCATTCGTGGTACATCCGGATAGAAACCTAACCAGACGTTTTACACCTGACCACAGCCTACCTATTGTGTTTATTTGAGTATACCATCACAGCTTCGGCTTTTGTAGACACAATAGCACTTGTATAAGCCCTTTCCATCTATTCAAACGATAAATACTGTTAGTAGGTGACTGAGTATTTTAATCCGAGTAAAGCCTTATATTAGCAACTATTACAACGAGCCCCTCAAAATAATCGTTAAGGGTTAACCGTTTAAATAAAACTCTTTAACGGTTTCAAACGCGATATATTAGTTAAACTTATTTGAAAATGATTTTTAACTTCGTCCCGACGTTTCGGATGCTTTGCAGCAGCCGTGGTCACGGGGAGGCACACCATAGCACACTGTAGTGTATTTAAGGGTTTAATCTACTTTTCAACACATTTTATAATTTTCTATAAAATAACTCCTTTATTAAGTGAGGACGAAAAAATTGTCATTATAACAAAAACATATTAATAAACTACAAGAGAGTGGATAAAAAAACGAGAACGGTTGTTGGTCGGGTGGTTTTTACATTTGAAAATGCCGTCGCTGTTTCTGTTTTAGGAAACATCTCTCACTTTCATATGTCATACATGTAAATTAAAAATTACCGCGCTGCATGATTTGTAGTCACAATTTAAAATACAAATGTACATCTTTATTACTTTAACTTAAGTTATTATCTCGTCAGTTATGTGTTATTATTAATGGTTTTATGTCAATGGCCAAATAACTTATCGAGATGTAGCTGTAGATGTAGTTGCAAGGTCGCTTTCTCGAAGCCTGGGTAATTATTGGAATTATATTAATAGTAATGAATAGTTTCACCGATTTTAACACTAATGATAGTTGTTATGAGAAGCCAATCTATATTCAAATATAAGGCTGAAGTATGTTTGTTTGTTATTTGAACGCGCTAATCTCAGGAACTACTGGTTTGAGAAATTGGTTCTGTGTTGGTTTAGATCATTTATCGAAAAAGGTAATAGGCCATAAAACATCGCGCTGCAACCAATTGAAGCGAAGAAACAGCGGTAAATAGGAAAAACAGGGAAAATTATTCATTTATATATATATATGTATATATAATAAAGAATGAAGATTCCTGATCTAAAAAAATGTCCGCAGCACTTTATGTTTGTAACATATCTTTGCATGTAAATTTAAAGCTTTATTGCATATAAAAATAAAAAGTGTAGTTTATATTGCTACGCAAAAACTTAAAAAAAAGACGAAGTGTATGCCTTGTATTTCTATTGCCTAAATAATGTTTAAATAAGGAATTAAATACATATGTTACACAAACTATGAAGTACTATGAGCCAGTGTTAGAAACATTTGTAATACAAAACTGGATATTAACTTGTATGTGTCCACAAATAATTTAAACGTGGTAAAGAATATTTAACTAAGAAGAATCATATAAATATAAATTATATTCTAAGATATTTCATATCTTATTTAATATCCAGCCATAAAACTAATTATTGCGCGTGAGTGATAAAAATTATATCATTAACTTAATTATTATTACACAACCAATGGGTATTTCGAAGTGACGGTCAGATAATACGAAAGTAAATACATAAATAAGATATAAAATGACTAGAAATCTTTAATTTTTTCAAATTAAAATTCATATATCATCATGAGCTTCATCTATACTAATATATAAAGATGAAGAGTTGGTTTGTTTATTTGTGTTAACGTGCTAATCTCAGGAACTATTGATTCGAATTGATTATTTTTATGATAGTTAGAGAATTTAATAAAACTAAAAAGTTAAGTGTTACTTATAGGAGCGGAGAAGCATTGGAAAATGTGCAAAAAACGTTGTTTCTAGTAGTACTCAAAATAGGCGTTAATACATTTTGAATAGTAAAGTAAGTTGTAGAATAGATATCTGGTGAAGACGAACTTCTTTTCACATTGGACTTCTTGAAAAAATAATTATTGAGAAATACTTATTGCACTACTTTTAAGTATCCTATGTAATATTTATATATATAGGTTTAAAAATTAATTATATTTAAAGTATTATAGATATTCTGAGTATATTACGAGTTTAATAATAATTTCACAAAACTCTCTATTATAACTTTTCTTGGTGACATTTTAAAAATTTCGAGAAACTCGTATTGAAATTGTCGCAATATTATAAGAGCTGTCACTTGTTTTGCTACCGCGGAAATCTTAGTTAATTATTAGTTTCCACTATTAATAGATCATTATTCTATTAATAGTGGAAACTGTTGAATATGGAGCGTGGGTTTCGACTATTGTCACTTACGGAAAAGTGATGCGTACAGTGAGAAGGCTTTTTTCTCATTTGGTAATCACTAATTGTACTCAAGGAAAACAAAATTGCTCTCATTGGAAAAACAGAGAAATTATACTATTCATTAGTGCATTTAACGACAATAGAAAATGTATTGCTCTGTAGTTTACGCGAGTTGTACTCATTTAAAAAAATACTTTTAAGGGTTCAAAATACGACGTATATTAGTTAACTTCTACACATTTAATAATAATAATAATAATTTATTTGTCAGACCATAAATCCATACATTAATTTAAAATAATTAATAATTAATTAAATCTAATGTGTGTTAGTTGGGTTAGTAACAATTTTTAACTAAAAATGTATATTAGAATGTGTTAGTCACTAAAGTTACATAAAACACTTTAACGGTTAAAAATGCGATATATATTAGTTAAAGCTATTTGAAAATTATTTTTAACTTCGGTCCGACGTTTCGGATGCTTTACAGTAGCCGTGGTCACGGCGAGACCCCCGTGACCACGGCTGCTTGCACGCCAAACTTCTGTACTATGAAACGTAAGGTTGTTTTTAAGATAAAAGTGAAATGTCGTGTTTCAAACCATTTAAAGTGTTCTATCTCAATAATACGATTGAATAAAGAAACGAAGGGACATAATTTAATTGTAATAATTATTGCGCATGTTAAGGATGTCTTTCTTTAATATATACATTTTAAATATTAAGTACCTCTTTATAAACCGCTATGTTTCCGGTAAATTAAGTCCCACTTAATAATAATAGAAAAAGGATGTACATTTTCCTTCAAGGAAAATAACAGTTTTCCTTCACTTTACAAAAGTAACTGCAGAACACTTAAGTGGGTAAGGAAGTATTAAATTAATTAACGACTGTCAAAATTAAATACAGAGGCGGAAACCAAACCAACGATTATCTACAAAGCATACTTACTACTTATTGTTCTGTGGTCATTAAATTTTTAACATCTTCCACCTCAACACATACGTATTGTCGTTCAGCTTGTTTGAATACAACAATATTTAATTGTTATACAATTAAATATAAATTAACCACTTACGTGTTAAGGTTGAAATTACATTGCGCGAGAGGTACATGTACGAATAGGTAGAAAAATTTCAACTCATTGATTAGAGCAACAGCAAGGAATGGTGACGATTCCGGTTCAAGTCCTGCCCGAGTCGTTTTTATTTCGATTTTTAATTTATATAGTAAAGTATTCAAACAAAGTAAAAAAAAAACATTTATTCATGTACGTAACTATGTACACTTATGAACGTCACAAAATAATAAAAGAATCTAACATTTAATACCAGTTCTCAAATCAAGGGCGTAGAACGAACGAGAAGAACTGGCAATAAACTCGCCGTCACTCCTTTTATCGCCAAGTTTCATTTTACATTCTTGATTTACTTTTAGTTCACTACATATTTTTCCTTGTAAGAGCGGGTTCCTCCACACCCCAAGCATTTTTATCATTTAAATATTGATTAAAATGATAATAACCCTTTTCAAGCAGTTTTTGTTTTACATACAAACAATCCAATATACTTACATGTTTTATTTGACATGGATAAAAATAATATGAACTTCCTAAATGTAATTTTTTTATTCTTCAGAGACGCCGCTAGAAGAAGTCACCGATGCCCTATACAATAAAGGAGTGAAGTTCCTGCTGACACATGACATGAAATTGACTCTTCCCGAAGTGATGTTCCACGGAGCTACTTTAAAAGTGTCTCCACGAGCGTTGACTAAGACCGGGGCATTAGTGCATATTGATCTGGAACCAAAACAAAATGGAGAAGGGAGGCTTTTCTTTCACAAAATAAGTAAGTTTTAACTAGGCTTAATAAGTTAAATTCCAAATGAATCTATTGAGAATAAATATCTAATCTTTTCAATCAGATCAGGGTATACAATTTATTAAACTGTATACCCTGATCTGATTTTGAACCACCGTTTAGTGGTTAATAAGCGTTTCAACATTTTATCTCGTATGGATCTCCTTCCTTCGTGATCCAATTTAGGTTTTTGTTTAATTTTAAAGTATGTGACCTATATGTTTACATGTGATTAAAACAAACCAATTTTATCTTTATAAATAAAATGTACGATTTATCTTTCAAGAGTCACAACACGACATACGATCATTTGAATTTTTTTCTCTCTCGTCTTATATTACATTTTGTATTGATATTATCGTTGCTCTATTTCTCATTCTATATTTCTAAGACTAAATTGTCAATTGTTTTGTTTTCAGAAAAATACATAAGAAAGAAGTTGGTAATGGCAGCCCTAGCAATAATATTAGTCGTCAAGCTGATAGCTCTAAAACTAATATTCGTGTTGCCGATCGTATTAGGAGTTACAACCGCAAAGAAAATGTTCCTCAAAATGCTTCTATTCATGTTCCCCGCCTTGAGTCATATATTCAAGCTGTGTTCGTGGTATCACCAGAACTATCACACGACGAAATATCACCACCATCACCATTTGATCACTCATCATCACAAGGTTTGTTGTTTATTAATTTACATTCAAGTTACGCTACGCCAGTACGCTCTTGATGCAGTGGTGGTGGTTAACAGTCAGAAGTGGCGATCGTTTAAAAAACAAAACGTTCTTCATCAGCAGGGGTAACTGGGTGGATTTTGCTGCAAATCGCTTAATTGAGTAATTTCCATCTTAGTAGCGACTTCTTTCATGAGTGTTTCAATTTAAATTTTTTATATTATAGTCCCCACACGGACATCCTCCACCACCTGTTTACGGTCCACCATCCCATGGAACTGTCTACGCCAAACCTCATGTAGAAACGCATGGACCAACTTTTGAACACTATCCCCAAGACTGGGAATTATCTGGGCCTGGCCTTGGAAGCGAGTAAGTTTTTTAAAGTTAGATATTAATTTAACTAAAGGACACATTTTATGTGGGTAGTTAAGAAATTTTGTACCAAGAAATTCGTTGTTTGTGGACTACCTTTAATAAAGTAAAATGTATACGATATATCATCAAAGAATTACAAATTATTTTCTTGATTTTTTTATTGTTAGGTATCAAATTATATTATATAACTTATTTAGTTACAGTCGTTATAATAATATTTAAATTAATTCACAGATACTTATCAGACATACATCGCAATGCGATTGCAAATTTCAAACCGCACGCTAATGATGGAAATGATATAAATTCTTGGGGTCTTGGATTACCTCCAGGTAAATAAATTCACTATTTAATAATATGCAAAAGTATGCCTAGGAAATACTGTCTATAGTTTACGCGAGTAGTACACATTTAAATAAAACACTTTAACGGTTTAAAACGCGATATATTAGTTAAACTTATTTGAAACTGATTTTTACCTTCGGCCCGACGTTTAGGATGCTTTGCAGCAGCCGTGGTCACGGGGAGACTTCAGGGTCAGGGGGAGAATCAGTTTCAAATAAGTTTAACATATATATAGCGTTTTAAACCGTTAAAGTGTTTTATTTAAAAATAGTTTAGATCTTTAATTATAGTCGCAATTTTATTTTATTGCAAATTATTTGTCTATAACTAATTGACAGTTACAATGGATTGAGTAAGTAATCGATAGATGGCACTGCTATGGTAAACCGACAAACGTGTCATATAAGGTACAATTGATGAAATTATTTATATGACATAACAACGTTTGCCGGATCAGCTAGTATTTCTATAAAAAGCTCGAACTAGACAACTCTAAGAACCACTGTAACACTGTATTGTCCACTACGGTCACTTTACTCACTTTGTTCGTTGTAAATGGTATAAGTACGTAGTAAAAAAATTGTATTTCCATACACAAACAATTATTCACCTATAATAAGACCCAAATGTGACCTCTTCGCAGATGATTGGTCAACAATACTAAAAGAATTGTCTGCCTTTGAAATGATCTCCTAATGTAATTTGTAATAACCTATTTTTAATTGTTATTGTTTAAGTATGTGTCTCCAATTAATGTAACTGGCTATTGCCGTTTTAATTGTTGTAAATAAATAAATAAATAAAAAAAAATAAATAATTCTATCACAGATCATAATTAACGACTTAATGTTTGACAGGTTCCGGTGCCCTCAATGCTGGTGAACTAGCTGGTAGTAATAATGTGGCAAATGTGGTTCCAGGTCCAAATGGAAATATTGGAAGGTAATTTCGAGATTTTGTTTAATAAGTTCAACAGCAAGAGGTGAACGATTTGAATTTTTTTTTATAATGATCTGTATTATTGTTGCATTGTCAACGTTTATAACCAAAAATCAATATAACAATTAATCCAAAAGCTGTACTTTGATTTAACACAATGAATATAGCTTTTCAACAACAAATATAGTTTTTCATTTCTGTATGATATTTAGAAAGTTTTAGTAAACTATAGCAACATTAGTTAACGAAGTCTTACATTCATTTATAGGCCAGTTGGACCTCCCGCAGGGCTACCACAGCTGAATCCATATTATAGAAATAAGAAAAACACACCTCAAGATCCTTCGCAGGCGGAAAAAGAAGCATTGGTAAATATATTTATTTATTTCAATGAAAATTCTTAAATTTTAATTCTATTCTATGTCAAGTTTTAAATAAAATGTTCTCACATAAAAGGCACGGGAGTAAAATCGCTTGAACACTTCCAAGCTCTGGAATTGTATGAGAAATTATTTATAAAGTTTTAATGTATTGAAGTCATATTTTGCCCCAACCGAAATACAACTCTGGGCCTCGAGAACAGGAGGTACTACATACGGTTTCAACATGTATACGTAAATAGCAACGTATAGATGTTGAAATGTATATAAAATGTAATTTGGCTAGAAAATTGACAATTTCGAATGAACTTTACAGATTCGTGCAGCGACATTAGCTGCGCACGCGCCGCCATCTCCAGTTAGAGATGAACTTTTGCGCGTCTCTGCAGCCAAGCTGAATGAGAACAATCGTGTAAGAACCGAAACGGAGTTAGTGCGTCAGCAGCAAGAAATACTGGCCGCTGAGGACCCGGTAAGTTTTTTATTCAAACTTGCTTTTATTTCACAGATCACATGACTTGATGGAAGATGTGCTATCGACCTATTTGGTTTTGGAAATCCACAGAATTAAACTGAAATATGATTAAACTACACGAGGTCATCATCAGTCGGCGGTTCGTGACCCGGACGGAATTTCGATATTCCTACAATTCATTTAATATCCAGATTTCCGGATGTTTCAGAAAAATTATATAAAGATTAGAAACATATTTGACCCGGTGGGGTTCGAACCTACGACCCGTTAAGCTATACATCGCTACCGCTAGACCATTAGAATTATAAAAGATTTTATTTTCTTCAGGATACAGTACAAGCTGAACAGTTCTACGGTTCTCTATTAGAGAAAGTTGACGTCATACTGGCCCCTATGGGAGCCGTGGACATAGGGTGTAAGGAGAGAGCTATTTGCTCACTTTATAGGGACCCGTTTGGACACGCGCCGTACAGTAATCTAGTCTCAAATGAACTAAGCAAGTGAGTACGTTATTAAAAAAAAAATGAAACGTGAACAATAAGCAAAATTATATAAATGATACTGTCTATAGTTTACGCGTGTAGTATACATTTAAATAAAACACTTTAACGGTTTAAAACGCAAAATATATAAACTTATTTGAAAATTATTTGCCCTCAGATCCGAAACGTCGGGACGTAGGTAAAATAAATTTCAAATAAGTTTAACAAATCGCGTTTGAAACCGTTAAAGTGTTTTATTTTACTTGCTTAAACTACAGACAGTCTTCAGCTTTCCGTGCTATTGCTCTAAGCAATTGAGTAATCGAATCCTTTAATATTGAATTGGTTAGAGCCACAGCACGGAACGCTGAGGATTCAAGTCCTGCTGGTGTCGTATTATTTAAAATTTATTATCGATTTTTAATTCAAATAGTGCCATCATGTTCAATAACATGTAAACATTTTTAAAGTTTTCAAAAGTATTTAAGTCGTTATATGATTTTCTTTACCGTTTTAGAGATTCGAGTGAATTAGTGCCACCAGCTGAAAGCAAGATGGCGTTGCGGTACTACAGATACGTACAAGCAGCCAGAGATGGTCAAGAACAGAAGGATTGTATCAGCATTTATCCAAACTGCAACATCAACTATAAGAGAAAGTGAATGTCGTTCACATTATAAAAGTTAGATAAAGGCAAAGTAGAATTAAAAATATGATCAAATGTAGGTAGGTCATCTTTTTAATTCAACTTTGGAACCTCCAATAGATAATTCTAAAATTAAATATATGGCTTAGAAAGTCAGATACGTGTAAATGCGTGACGCAATGGTAGTTTAAATTATTAATAAATAAAACATATTTAACGGTTTTAGCAAGATTTAACCACGGCTGCTAAAACGCAGTTTGATCTTTTAAAAGTGTTATATTTTACGAGTAACACTCGCCTTAACTACGGATAATACTTAAAAGTATGATTACCTAGAGTCCAATAGACATTCTATGTACTTTATACAATAAATATACGAAGTGAAACTACCTTCATTTTGTCTCGTGTAATTTGTTAGATATGTAAATATTTTAAGGAGATAAGCGATAATGTATGTTGCATTTATTAAAAGTTACAGCTAAATCCAAAATTTAGTGGTCGTTTTAAACTTCGACTAATTTTATTAGATTTATTAATTAGTTGTTTTAATTTTTGGGTAACACCACTGATATTTAACTCTCATAGTCACAAATAATATTCGATTTAGGTTGAAAAAAAAAATGACGGCTCAGGCGGGACAAATGTCGATTTTTTTGTCACAAATGTTAACAAAATACATTTTTATATTACCGATAAATAATTTGTGGTCGTTTAAAATTTTAGTCTGGCAAGCCTACATTAACTAAAGTGGTCCCAAACTTTAACCAACTAAATAATACTTTAACCGACTTTTCTGTGAAGTGATATTTTTATTATTATTAAAAATTATAATTCAATTCACAGAAAACTTGGTCTTTTATAGAGCCATGTAGTCACTAGGACAATAGAAGTAGACAATTATATTTTAGAAAGGGGCTCAAATGTTACGTTATTTATTTTAGACTTTAAAATTGTAGTTCATTTATTTATTTATTTAACTTATTAAAGAATTACAAAAACTACTTTAATTGATGTCTTTAAATCTATTTCATCCTTATATATCTTATATGTGATCATAAAAGTTTTTTTTAATACATTGAGGGTAGTTCTTCTTAAAAATGTATAAAATAATTTGGATACGTACAGGACTGGAACCCACGACCAAAGCGGTCAATGCTGTTGTTACTAATTGAGCTACTGTCAATTATCATATTTTTTTCTATAAAAAATAAAATGTTTATATAAACTTATGTTCTGCCATATTAAAAACCTGTATTTTTCATGTTATTGATTATTATTAATTTATATACTCGATTTAAAAACGCAACACACTATGGCTTTTCATATCGCTAGTTTATAAAAGTCATCTAATATTTTCTAAACACAAAATGATTTCAATACAACGAACAATCACACTCAGAAATATGTTTAGCACAAAAGCATTCGCTGCTTTATTTCTTTTCGTAAGTATTATTTTTCCCGTATACTCATAATATTTAGATTTTTAACAATTAAATTGTCTAAGACCATAGTCTTATCGACTTGTATCGTTTATGAGGAACAAAATAATTTGTTCTTCGACATAAAACGTATTTTAAATAATTTCACTATATACACAGACATTAAATGTCTAATCTCGCATTGTTTATTATTACAGTACTAGCTTAACACTGCTTTTATTTTTCTACAACAATTACATTATTTATTACAACTAACAACTTAGTTTGCTGTAACTAAAATTAAAAGCTATGAACAATAAAAGAAAAGACTTTTGACACGGTAGTACATTGGTTAGATCTGCACGGATCGCTGTGAATGCCGGTTCAAGCCCCGTTCGTATCATCGTATCGTTACAATGTAAACAGCTAATTTTAATGTAACATTTTTACTTTATGAAACGTCATCATGTGCAATAAAGTTTTTATATGTTATTCAAGTTATAAAGCTTAGTATAACAACACGATAAAAAACCCATATTGATAATAACAGCAAAATGTTAAGTAGGCTAGATTTTTTTTTTGAACCTCTTGTAGGCCCTAAAACGTATTCTATCCGGTTTGAGGCTTTGAACTCTTTGATTCCAAGCAAGTAAATATGTGGTTCTTACTATACAGAGGTACCTAGTCAAAAAGTATCTATATATTGTTTTTTTTTTTTTAATTTCAGATGCCTTTGTCATTTACATTTAATATTGTCAGGCTAAAAAGAGCCCATTCGGACAACTTCAACGTCTTACTGAATATTTATAAAATGAATCCTTTAAAGCATTCCGATGTATACAAAAAGTTTTCTAATCAAATACTTTTACCACGGCCGGATACGCCGCACGTCGCATTGAATTTTAATTCAAATGAAAGCGCCAAGGAAGAACAAGGAGGGACATCAATATCAATTGAACGTTCTACTGATGGTAATAATATTTTAAATACTACCACTGAAAAGACAACGGCACAAACAATTCAGTTACAAGGTGACGAAATAACGAACAATGCAGTCTTGAATCTCTTTGAGGGTAGTTTGGTTAACGACTCTATCACCAAAATCGCTCCAAAAAGTTATAAGAAGAAGCACTACCATCTATTCATTGATAAAGAAAGAGATTTCAATAAGTTTAATGAAATTTATGATCAAGATGCTGATACTATAATAATGAAGTAGATTTACAGTCTTTTTGAGTACTTGAAGCATGGTGTGAATATATTTAAGGAATTGATGCTTTCATTATATTAAGTTTGCCAAATTGATTCTACTTGGCTGTAAAAGTTTTCCTGAAGTACTTATCTTCGCAAATAAGTTCATGTAGATTTTAAGAAGAGTTTTACATTCTCCATTTCTACTGTTCTGTAAAAAAAATATGTTCGTGTGATTTGGTGTAACTGTAGTCAATAATAATAAAAGATCCCTCGAATAAATTTGAAACTTATTTAACGATTTATTTACAAGTAAACAATAAATAATTTAATAAATAATAAATTAGTCAGAGGTCCGTTGGCATTAAAGCTAGGGGATATTTATAGATGGCCTGAGTAAGCGATTTCGTGGGCGTCTTCGTATGATCGTGCTTGGTAGGGCCCATGTGCGTCCCAAGCTGGTGCGTGGTGGTCGACGTGGTGTTCTACGTGGTGTTGGGGGTAGTGAATGACTTCGTAGTTCACTACCTTGGGCTTGGTGAACTTGAAGATGACCATGGCACCTGTTAAAAAACAATTAACGGATTATCATCAATGTTGCTAAGAGACTCATTGAATCGTCTTATTATAAATAGTTAGAAAAAGTAGAAATTACCGGATAGAACTAAAGAAATTAATCCAAGGGTCAAGGCTTTCCAGGTCTTCAGTGCGATGAGGGCGAGGGCCAAGGGAACTAGGACGGCAGTCTTGAATTTAAGTCCGAGGAGGAAAGGCAGGAGCACCTTCTTGATGAAACCGTGTTCTGGAAACAAACAAAAACAAGATGATAAAAGATCTTTACAAAGTTTTTTAAATAATATTTCTCAATAAAATACTATTACGTACTGCTTTTGATCCTCAAAGGCTTAGGGAGCTTGATCTTCTTCCTCCTGCCCTCAAAAGTCTCGACCTCCTCTTCACCATCCAATGGCATATCGAGTTCAGATGGTAAGTCAGTTAGCAGAGATCTTGGTACATATTCAGAAGCGGCGCTGCGGGCGATTTCATCTGGTACTTTCACTCTTAAAGAATGAGTTTCAATAAAGCGTTCAACTTGGTCGAAGATCGCGTAAGTTGGATCTTTCGCCATCCTTGGGTCGACATCTTCTTCTTCAGCTATCGCGGTTTTGACAATAGATAGATCATCAGTAATTTTGATCTCATCGTGATTCGCGACTTGCGAGATCCACTCCAGGGTCCTTGGTTTCACACACTCCACTGAATATTGGCTCAGGCATTCGTCGTAAATGTTCTTTACTAAACCTGACGCCGATTGGCCGTTTGCGAAAGCCGCCACTGATAATAACACCACGAACTTAAACATTTTGCACTCGTTTTGGCACTTGACGGCAGATGCGACTGACTGCCGTCTGATTAGCGGTCACAATGTATGCCAAGGAAGTTCAGGGCTGGGTATATATACTGGCATTAATACGTGACGTGCTGCCTGATTATATTAAGGTGTAAGGAGGTGCGAGTACCATAGTATTTAGATTGTGGTACATGACAATTATGGGGTATGCTATTAAGAACTAATTTCTAATTAGTTGTTCATATTTTTAAAAACTAATTTTTAATATGACGGGCTCGTTGATGTAATGGTTGCAATGCATGGCTAATAATCAAGGGGTCGTAGATTCGATTCGCACCAGGTCTAATATGATTCCAATAAAATTTCTAATTTTTCTGAAACATAAACTCGTCTGGAAATGTTGATATTATGGGTGGTAGGAATCAAAATTCCTGCCGGGTCACGAACCACCGTCCACGGATGTAAAAGCCGTGAAGTCTAATCGCATTTCAGTTTCAGTCAATCGATTACCCAATATCCAAAGCTCATCTAGTTTAAATGTTATATGGCTGCCTATCCTAATAAACGAATGCGTTGTTTTTCTATTATTTTCACGATTCACTAAGAACTATTTATGTATTCCTTCAATTGTTTTAAAGCAGAACAAGTTCCTACGATACAGTTGTAGTTACATGATGTTGCGTTGCCTGAAAAAGATCTGTAGTACTTCATTCGAGTACGTAATAGGCGGTTTTGTATGGGCGAACCAAACGCATCTCATAAAATGATGTGTCAATCATTTATTTTACATAATCATAAACACATATTTCTTACACGTAATACTGTTCTGATATTGTAATAGTTAATAGTGTAGTATTGTGCATTACTAGTTCTTTCTATAAAAAAGGAGGACTAGCAAATATGGCGTTAACATAATGGAAGGTGAAACCCCATCTCTAATTGCAAGAGTCGATCAATAATGGCTTTGCCGTTCGGCAGGTCATCAACAAAATTAAATAAAACGCAAATTGACTTCATGGATTTTTTTATTTTAGTTACGCGAAGGAAATATTTATTTTTCTTGCTTTCGTTATATTTGCTCTTTGAGACAAATTTACAATCATTTAAACGTGCCGCACAGCGGTATATCTATTCTAAATATTACACCTTAATTTTAAGAATTGGTATAATCAATTGAAGTGAGCAAATAAATAAAGTTTCGAACCTAAATACTGTCTGTATTTTACGCAGGTAATACACATAAAAAAACACTTTAACGGTTTATAACGCGATATATATTAATTAAACTTACTTGAAAATTATTTTTAAATCGGGATTTACCTCGGGATCTTACGTCGGGCCAAAGTTAAAAATAAGTTTAACTAATATAAACCGCGTTTTAAATCGTTAAAGTTTTTAATTTAAATAACTATAAACCTATTAATGCAAAGTCAAAGTATAAATATTTTAACAGTTTCATATTTTATAACAATACAAAAAATTTCGTTAATAAAGTATAATTACTAGGTTTCAAGCACATTTTAATAATTAATAATACAGCGATAAGCATTTAAGTAAAGTTATCTCATTTATAAACAGAAGGTGTCGATGTTGTCCATGAATTAAAGATTCTGAACTCGAAAGAAAGGATTTCTGGAAATAAATCTTACTTCATAGCATTAACACAATTTTGCAAAGGTATTTTAACTTTCATCAATTTACCTATTAAGTGATATTACCTATTCAGTGATTAAGTGAAAGATATATACCTTAACAATAATAAAAAAGCTAAAACCTGATGATTTAGTTTACTAGCTTATAGTATTAATTACATCTAAACTATAAAAAAATTTAAACAGTTTTAGTGTAAACAGACGTGCAAAGTATGTATGTGTTGCAATAAAAAGTAATTTACAGACAAAATCGACTCGGGCAGGACTCGAACCGGCATTGTCAGCGTTCCGTGACGTTAGGACTAGGTAGCTCAATTGGTATAGCAACAGCACTTTAGTAGATTTTTAAATTAAAATGTTGCTTACTGAAACAATATTTGTGTGCATTTACAATTAATATATTGTATGTGTAGTTACATTTATATATACATTTTTTGTCATCAATTAGGTTACAAGTAATCTAATATTTTCATATTGGTATAAAGTTAAGCTTAAAGGGCCAAATCCTTAACTTACATAAAGGAAAGTGATGGTGTATCGTTGCGTTCGCATTCCTTACGTAATACAAACCGCATTTCTCATATATTTCATTCAAGTCATATGCGTTAGTGAAAGATGTCGCTGCAAAACGGATGCTAAAGGGCGTGACGTGCTTCCTAATTAATTGCGACTACTTTGTAACAGCTGATTACTAAAAATGGTTCAGTAATAATCATACTTTCATAGGATGTAGCTTATAGAAAAAAGAAAGTTTGTCGAAGTGAACATGGTGGGTAGTATTATTTTAAATTAATGAGTAAATTTCTCGTATTCTACAATCTGTCAAGATTTAATTGTCTTGTATCAGTTTTACACATATGTAGTAAAATGGAGTAAATAGATAAAACAACTACTTTTCGTCAGTGCATAATAATATTATCAAACTTTTCCTTGGAGTATTAAAAAACCAATATAAATGCCAAAAATAATAATGATGGCCAGAATCAATTCGAATTATCGATTATGATAAGTACGATAGACGACAAAATATTTAGGGCGATTTCAACTTCGTTAGCTGAATATTAAATTGGCGCTACCCGGTTGAACATAAAGCAAAGATAACATAAGATTAATTCTATCCTTCAGTATTGTTATGAATTATCAAAATAAACACAGCTTCCTTTCTAATTTTATTATATAATGTGTGATAGAAACTTAGTATTGGAAGTTAATTATCTCCTAAGCCTGAGTCATTTATACCACTCAAACGCTAATTACTACCGTCACTGCGTTCTTAACTACAAATAAATGGTTTACAATGCCATCTAGATAAAAATAACTTTTGACTTTAAGATTATTATAACATCATCAGCAGTGACCCAAAAAATATATCGCTGCTATAAACACTTTTAAATTTCAGAGAGTTTTTATCTTTGAGTATCCAATATTCAAATACTATTATAATATATTATTACGAAATTAATATTTTAAAATGTATTTTTTTTAATTTAGTAACATTTATTTACTGTCAACTGTCATTGTCATTTGTACATTTGATGTGCACGGTTGACAAATGACAATTGATATTAGCAGTGTAGGTATTCTTCTACAGGTTTCTCTTAATCGTAATCTTAATAATTATTTAATCTACTAGGAATCGTAAGAAAGCTACGATTTGTTCAGAGACCTTAAATACTCGTTCCTTTATGTTATGATTATATTTTGTGATTGTAAGAGAGTATTGAATTCGTTTGTGAGTGAAGTGAATACCATTTACAATGTCCAACAATCGGATTCCGTCTGGTCCCAATACCCCAGGTAGTCAGCAGACTCCAACACAGCAGGGAATAAAGATATTCATTCAGAGGGACTATTCTGAAGGAACGGCTGTGAAATTTCAAACCAGATTTCCACCAGAACTCGAAGATAGGGTAAGACAACACAAACATGTCAACACGCCTTAAAATTGGCCTTGATGTCTTTGAGATTAAGATTATTATCATTTATGAGGTCATTATGAATTGACAATAATTTGAATTACTATTATTTAATTCTATTGTATTGACTAGAGATGTGATTGAATAGAAAGTTGAGAGTTAAATATTTTATCTTTGTTCTAAGTATCTTATTTTATACTTTGTTACATATATAGTCGCTGACTTTCATTAAAATTTTCTTTCATAACATTTTGCCAGGTTTCCTTGTGTAAAATTTTTGAATAAACTTCCTTCATCTTGAAAGATTGATTTAGGTTGAATTAGGTCTTGGTCTTAATAATGAAATAATTATTAATCTAATTTTGTCATAATATAAATTACAGATAGACAGACAAACATTTGAATACACAATAGAGAGACTGAATGAACACTTTGACATGGCAGAAACGGCGGACTGTAGCACTTACTGCGAGGGATGCTTGGCTTGTCTAACAGCTTATTTTATATATATCTGCACAGAGACCCATTATGAAAAGGTGATTGCCATAATCCGTGATATGTTTAGCCAAGATTCTTGTAATTTATTAAATAAAACAAAAAGACATACAAATCTATCATGTAAATTCACTAAACAGAAAATAATGTTATCATCGAGTTATAATATTGCAATGTTTTTAAGAGGTTATAATTAAATAGACTATAAGTAGAATTTGTATAAAAGAATAAGTGAGTAAGAGATTTCATAAAAAAGAGAGTCATAAATTTAAATTAAATAAATGAACATTTCCAATGTCTTCAATGGTTTTCAGCATCTTCGAAAGATATCAAAATTTATTGCAACACAAAATGAACGAGTATACAACCCACGAGGCATTCACTTAACTGATCCAATACTTCGAGGCTTAAGAGTGATAGAAGTAACAATAATAGATGTCCCAAACTGTCAGAGCCCAACTGGTAATTCCACCACTCAGCTGCGACACACTTGACCACCACAAGAAAACAGGGAGTTCTTTATGTAACAGTTAAAGTATTGGTTTTAACAGTGCTTAATTAACGGTGGGTTAAATGATTGGCTGACTATAATTCAAATTTGATTTGTGCAAAAAATTTAAGTCTACTGTGAGTGATAAGTTAAGAACCCACCTTAAGCTAAGTTAACAAGAGACACTATGTTTGCCTGGTTGTATTTTTATTAGACTAGTAATGGAGTGTGTGTTTACCTTTACTATGTTAAGACTGAATACCACATCACCTTTACTTGTGTATTAGCACTGTGCGATGCCATTTCTGTTTTGTATTGTTAAATAAGGTAGGTGTATGATAAATTTTTGCGTGGCAAGAGAGAATGAATATTTAAAAAAATAATTTACAGTTACACTGAGTTGTTTAATGGACATAGAAAACAATATTTTGTTAATACACTTTTCCAAGTATTTCAAAGGAATACTGAAAAACAATAAATTAACATTTGATGACTTTCTGTGACCTCCGATACTGAAGAGAGGAATTTCTCCTTAAAACAAATTTATATTTTCTTTTTAATAATATGTTACTATTTGTAGATTATCTTCTTTCTAAGCTGATAGCACCAATTTTATATAATCCCATGGCTAATCAGGCAAATATTGAGGGTGAAAAATATCTTCAATGCTCAAAAACAACTGAATTTACTAGTTGCATACTTCGAGGGACTCCCATGCCAAAATATTCTTCCATGAAGAAATTGTACATTGATTTAGTAAATTGAATATATTGTAGAATTGAGGCATAGTATCTTCACGAAAATGTAGCAAAAATGTCATTAATAATTTAAACCACTGTCACAGGTTTTGAACCTATGACTGTTTTTGATTTCATTCATATAATTAAATAAAATTTAATTGAAAAGTAATTTTAACTTAAAACTCGATGACACAGGCCAAAAATCTTCATATTCATAGATCAGCTGCCCAGTGTCATTGACATTTACAATCTATAATTACTTTTAACTTTTATAAGCTTTCACCTACATTACCATGTAGTAAGTATAAAGATTTGAGTAAATAAATTCTAGTATATTGACAATGTTTAAAAGTGAATAAGCTTTATAATGTGTAAATTATATGTAATTAAAACATTAACATTAGTTATTTTATATTTTAAGAAATGAATATTGTATTTATCCAAGAGTAAGGAAAATAACATTGCATTTTTAATCTGTTATAATTATTTACTGAATGGCACAAAAGATAAACATTTTCTATTACACAACAGCCAATGTGTAGACTTTTTGTGTCATGCTTATTCCATTTTAATTATTTTTTGTCCAATAATAAATAACAGCTATTTAGAAGACACTTGCGCTGTGTTCGTTAATATTTTTTTGTTAAAAAGAGTATTTACTAGTATTGCGAAAATATAAAACTTGACTAGAAAAAAAAACAATAACCATTTTTTATGAATTCAAAATTTACAATAAACTTAGTTCGAAGTTGAACATTTGTAATAGGTAATTAATAATAATATTTATCTAGTTTCACAAGACTTGGTACTTGTAAATTGATGTGATGTGGTTGTCATTTTATACTGTAGGTATCTATCTAGCAACCTTATTGTAAAAATGCACATAATTTGTTAACAAAATTAGGTTTATTTAATGTTTAAGTAAATTAATGGTTTATTATATAGTGACGTAAATATACATAATTATTTCGAGTGTCAATTGTTTCTTTTTTGACTAAATAGACAAACGGGAGTTTTTTTTTTTCAGGAAGAAGATAACGTAACAGTGAAACATGAGAATATTTAATTCATCGATCTGGTTCATCTATGGAATACAATCTATGCATTATTTTAAACTTGCTGATCCAGGTATTATGTCGTATAGGTACGTTGAATAGTGAGAAAAGGTTTTTGCAAATACCTACATTATTTTAGTTATTATTTTTTTGTTACATGTCCTATCTTTCATATTATATTTAAAGTCAGCTGTCTCCGCGATTTCGACCGTGTCATCAACAAAATTTTTTTTGCAAACAACCTTCTCATTTTTAATTATAGCTAAAATAGATTGGTCCTCCGCGTACTGTTGTTCTTACAAGTTAATCTTCAAAGATTTTTTTAAACCGATTAAAGAGAAATCATCTGTTATATAGATTTTTTGGTTTCTTGAACCGTTTTCGCAGCAATAGCTTTCGCTTAGCTTAGCGCGACGATGAATAATTTTCCACGCTTATCCATACTGTGTTTTCGCTCCTATTGGTCGCAGCGTGATAATATATAGCCTTCCTAAATAAACGGTCTATGTAAAACAGAAATAGTTTTTTTTGGATAATTCGAACCAGTAGTTTTTCAGATTACCGCGTTAAAACAAAGAAGTTCTTCAGCTTTATAATTTGTTGTTCTTCGCGAAAGCTATTTTAAACATCGCTTCAGTCCCAAAAAAACTCAACCAATTTTTCTCTGCAACACTGGTGACGTTGTTATTAGGTCTTAACATGTTGGCAATAAACTAATAATAAGTATTAAAGACGGAATTGAGCGAGAGCCATTTCACTATTTTATGTGTGACTCAAATTTGATCTTCGCATAAATCTCAGAGGGCTCGTAAACATGCTATTTTATAGCATCTAATTACAAGAGGTTATTGCTTCAACGTAGGCTGTATGGGGCGTCTTTCATATCCTGGTTTAAGTTATAAGCGGACGATCAAACTATACAATTGAAAACTTTATTATTTTTTACATGTAGGCACTATACAATTTATTTTCGATTTTTAAACTATACAATTTTTGATTAAAACAAACTACATACAAAACCTCGGAAACATCTAATATTTTATAAACTTTCTTCTATATTCGATACTACGATACGGTTTTAACTATCTTACTAGACATTACTTAGTTATTAATCTGAATTAAGATATTCTTTGCTTTGAAGCTCCAGTTAGAATTTATAATCCTGGATAATAATTTAACATACCCTAATCTTTTTGACTTTGTAGCTTCAGGACACAGAACCATGATCAACTGGACACAGAAGCGTGATCAACTAGGCATAGAAGCGTGATCAACTAGGCACAGAATCATTATCAACTATGTACAAGTAAAATATATCAGTTAACAAAACACAAAATGTCTCTGGTTCACTCCCGATGTAGTAAGAAATTTGATGTATGATTGATTAGACACCAACTGTTTTTATCAAATTGGTTTTTCCGGTGTAACAATGTAAAATTGTAATATAACAAACTTCTACTATATAGAACAAATGTCACATAGAAAAGACATGCTCTAAAAGTGTATACCTTAGACCTACCTCCGCAAAGAGGCAACGATGACGCCACCATAATTAGATCGCTCTCCCACCCGTCTTGTGCTGCAGAATTATATTATATCTATTAAGATTTGTAGAGCATATCGTGTCTCTAATTGCGTTTGTTGTAACATTTAGAAAATTGTATTTTCTAGGATCTAATGACATCATGGACGCAGAAAATTATTGTGAAGTAATTGTGTTGAAATAATAACTTGGATAATTAGTACGGACAATAGCCACGATATTTTCCTTACTACATAATAAAACTGGATATACATTCACAGACAGAAAAAGATTCAAACCGCCTCTACTTGAAGAATTGTATGGTACCTAAGTTACCTATTTAGTATTTGGTTTCCTTTCCCTTCATTTGATTTATAATGTCTCCTATTCCGATAACTAAACTTGAATCTAGGAAATGTTAAGTTGGAAATGTTTCACAAAGTTCTAATTGCTTTCCAGTTGAATAATTGGGTTACCAGCATGAGGGAATCAAATTTACGAATAATTTAATAGCTAGGTACCTGTGCTGTCAAACTCTCGTCTAATTGTATTTCGTTCCTGCATATATTATACAATTAACTTAAGATTGATACGTAAGTAATTCAAATACTTGTATTCTCTGTACTACTCAACTGGTTGACTTAAATTGCCTTTCAATAATAGTAATAATAAAATCATTTATTTAAAAATTGCACACATAAAAAGACTATGAGCTAAGTTAACTTTATTACAATTCTTAGACAAATTTTACGCTTAAAAATTAAATCAACGGCAACTTCTAAAGCCGAACCATTCAGCTTAATGCTACGTGGTGTTGAATCAAGGATTTTCATTGGCCGCTGGCGCCACCGCTTCTAGAGTAACAACTAACAAACATGCGCTAAAAACTAGTAGGTACATTTTAAACTAAAACAACTTATGCTATAAACAAATCCTATTCTACAACAATTTTTTTCGTGAACGATAGATAGTGTTAGTAAATAATTGTAATAGTTAAAACTTATAAGTATTACTGTTCCTTACCTGGACACAGACGACTCTTTAATAGAAGGGGGGCTTAAGAACCTAGTCAAGCCAAGCGAGCGAGAGAGTTTCAAATATTATATTATTATTGATGGGTACCAAAACTTGCTTAACGTAATTTTTGAGGTGGCGTGATGGCACATATTACTTCTAACTCCGAGCTGCAATTAGTTTTTTTTTATATACCTAATTCTAAACTTTTTTTATATAACTAATTCTAAACATTTGACCTGACTCAGGATTCGAATCCTGAACTTCCTTGGCAGATCGATAAAGCGTAACGCGAAAATATTATTGATACTCTTTAACTTTAAATAGTAAACGTGGTGTATGGTTGTTACCATGTATGCTTGCGATGACCTAGCTCTAAACCTTAGGATTCCTTGCATTCAAATAAAACGAAAAAGTTTAAATATCCGATTCTAAAATAGGCTAGGGTGTTTAATTCCATTCAGTTCCCATGCTTACCTGTCCTATATACATAAACAATACTATTTTGCCAGCATAATGCATTCAATCATTTTTTTTATTATCAATAAATTTTTTCGACGTATCAAAAATACAACGATGAAAAATAAAGACGATTCATAATCGAATTCTTGTTAAGTATTTGCTTACGTATTATGGTAATCCAGTTGCGCAAAAGATGTGAAATGACTCCATC